CTATAGCTCTGCTGGGGGCAAAGTCGTACAACTATAATAATATTCAAGATAATAACAAAAAACGGCAAAATTTCCTTAAAATTACCAATTCAGGGGCAGCAACCCAACAACGGGTTGTCCGATTCATCTGAAAATTTCAGGGCAGATAGATCTTGACCTGATAAACAATTTTACCTCTGTCAGATTTGCTCTAAATGCTTTGGTTTCAGAGATATATGCCAAAATCTACATTTTACCCCTATCTTCTATTTTTTTTAGCCATGGCGGCCATCTTGGTTGGTTGGCCGGGTCACCGGACACATTTTTTAAACTAAATACCCCAATGATGATTGTGGCCAAGTTTGGTCAAATTTGGCCCAGTAGTTTCAGAGGAGAAGATTTTTGTAAAAGTTTACGGACGACGGACGACGGACGCAGGACGACGGACGCAAAGTGATGAGAAAAGCTCACTTGACCTTTCAGGTCAGGTGAGCTAAAAAGGGGTGAAAATTTGATTGGTTAACTTCCAGTGATGGTTATTTTCTTATATGCAATGAAATGTTATGTGAAATTTTGTCTATAGTACTGGACAGGATAAAACTTTACTCATGCCAAGTATTTCTTTATTTGAAACAAAGATAAATTCTGCACATTTTTTGGAAAAGTGCAAATTTAACAAAGACTAATAGGGGAAAAACAATGGTGGTATTACACCTCAATACATGGTTATAGTTTTGCAATATTTTGACCAAACTGGTATACCAAACATTTACCATTCTAAACTACTAGTATGCAGAGAACTTTGTCTTTAATTGGATGATACCAGTCTTTACTAAAAAAATATCTCCTTTTTATGCATTTATATGGGCTATATCCTTCTAGTAAGAGTTTATTTCAGTTCCTCAGCAGAACGTGATAGAAAGTTGATAATAATAGGTTAATACACATTCTAAAGAAGTCATTACAGTTTGAGCATGTGCAAAATGTTCCAAATCAAACATTTAAATCAATTTATAAACCGTCACAATTTAAAAAAATCAGAGAACCACAGGGAATTTAATGCCAATTCAAAAAACGATAATTTAAGATTTGAAATAAAAAGTAGCACAAAATAAGTAAAAAAGTAATCATTACAATGTAAGAGTTAAAACTATGATATCCTGTATTTCATTGAATGATGTAACAGGATTTATTCCCTTGTGGTTCTCTGATTTACAATGGAAGAATAAAACCAAAATGTGAGAAAATAAGTGCAATTTGATTCCTGTTGAATTAATATTTCTAGTTGTTTTATTTTCATAAGAACCATCGTAATAAATTGAGTAGTAGCAAGCTCATTTATAAATTAATGTGTTGTACAGTTATTATTGGTATGTTTCCATATTCTATAAGGTGGGTCTCATTGGGGTCTAAGCGTGACCCGGGATGCCGATTTTTTTGTAAGCGTGACACTTGAAAGTCAAATTATTGTGCCGTGAAAACGGGAAATGAAGTCTAGCGGGACACGGGAAATTAAAAAAAAATGAGAATTGCTTACGTACATAGTGTAAGCGGGATACGGGAATCTGACAAAACAGTAAGGGGGATCCGGGATCAGAACACCCCAATGAGACCCCCTATAAGTGATTATTTGAGAATTCTCTGGTACCAGGGATAGAGTAAAAACAAATAACAATTATTCTGTTCTTCATCTACTAACAGCAACATTCAAAATTGTAAAATGTACATTTTGTGCAGCTAAATCAATACAAACCTAGCATTACTGACTTTTAACAATATCTGGTACTATTTATATTTTAGGTCATGACCTTGACATTGAAAATCCAAATCCAAAAAGTCAACAGAATGAATAGATCTCTAATTCCTAATAATTGGAACTAGGATCCAATATAAAAAGACTTAAAAGTGAGGTTCTATTTACAAAGCTGGAATTTATCTACAGAATAATTCATTTTTATAAGAAAATAATTTTCATTTAAATACAATTATGATGGTCATTTAAACATTCAAGGCTAACATTCTTAGTACTGTTAAAATAGTAACATCACCTAAATTAACCTTATTAATTCATTTGTACCAGGTTTTAAATATATTTAAACATGTGAAAGAATTGTGCAATTTATATCCCACAAAAACACAAATTATTATTACATATACTTTAATCTGTTCAATAAATAAATGAATAAAAAATTATTTGTGTCTTAGGTTTGTTGTCATATCTCCAATAATAAATAAGTAGAGAAAACTGTCTTTTCTTAATCACAGAAAAGAAATTACTATTTCTTGATAAAAAAAATCCTGATTCAGATGTCTTTAAGTATTATTCTGGTTTTCATGTTATTTCCTAATTCCATTTTTTCGTAAAGAGACTTTAAAAATTTAATAAATGGTTGACACAAAAAAATACTGCTTTAAGTTTGACACAGGTGATATTATGAAATATTTTTTGAGACTCTTATCAATTAGAACACTTTACATTTAATCAGAAATTGGAGACTTGGTTAAATCCTTACCACAGCAGATGGATAGTATCATAGTTGATGCTTTCATATCAAAAGAATTATACATTATTTTGTGTCAATTTAGTCAGTAAGAGAAGGCAATGTTCCCTAAACTGTTTATTTAAGGCAATTTGATTGTACTTCATAACTATTTTAGCTTTTGGTGGTACACTTGTAAAAAGAAAGTTATCGCTCATCTTTTTTCTTTAAATATCTCATAATATAGTTACAATGTTATAGGTTTTTTAATGTGTTTTGATTGTAGCAGCGTACCAGTCAAGTACATGAATTTCTGATATATTGACATAAAAGTATCTAGTGTCACTCTAAAAGTAAATGTAGGTGACGGTGACTATCTAATTATTTAACAATTCATCTTAACAAAAAGGTCAATCATTGATCTAATAGTTGGAATATTAACGATTACTACACAAACTCTTGGTGATTGAAATGTTCAAATATTGTATAGACATTTGTCCTTATATTGACTTCTGAAATGACTTTTGGTATTGTGTCATTGTGTATTTTTAAAGACCTTATATTGACTTCTGAAAGACTTTTGTTATTGTGTCACTGTGTTGCTGGGTCATTGTCCTATACCTAAAATCCCTTTTCATTCCTACTCTTGTTTACTTTGTCTAATGTTAGGTTAATCCCCTTCTATGGAGAATAATGAAAGAGATCATTAGTTGACACCCAGTTTGGGGGTAATTAACATTGGTGGCATGCTGTTGTCATAAGTATTTAGGTAGGTGGCAGTCAATATCAAAGGTGTTTTGCCAACTATATTAATTATGTATTTGTTTAATAAATAATATACAGTTTATAACCATTATGTTAACATTTTTACCAATAATTTTAGGTAATTTGTGTAAACCTAGCCAAAGTATCATGATTTTCAAATAAAAGAGCAAATTAATTTTGTCTGTTGTGTTTTCACTGCAAAACAGCAATAAGTCCAAACTATAACAGTAATCAAATATCATCAAAGGCTCACATAACACATGATACTATCATACTGTTTTACATATATTAAAAATATAAGAAATTTGAAAATCTTGTTCGCTTTTGTTCAGCATATTTAATGCAAATGTTTAATGTCAAATTATTTTTTTCCAGGGCAGGCTAGTGCTATTTAAAGATCAGACAGTTTACTAATACATTATGTTAAACATTGGTTAGCATATATTCAGGCAAAATTATAAGAAAAAAAATACCTGTTGCAATTTTTCATTTCGTCCACTTAAAGCAACTTGTATAATTTAAATGATTTATTTTTAATTTCCAGTTCATAAAATATGTAATTATACAAGAATACAAAGGGAAGCCCCCCCTCTCATGCAAAACTAACAAGGTTATTGCTATTCTATTTGGCCTCTTTTAATTCTATGATTCCAAATGTTTTGTGTTTTTGGCCTTCAAAACTGTTGGTCATGAACATACTTGGTGATTGTCCAGAAACATGCATTGTGTCAACAGATATCAGCATAATACATTTATGTTAGAAAGAAAGAATTTTACATTTTCCATTAAAGAAATCTCAGGTTATAGATTTGTATTTCCTGAAAATTTTATTCTTTTTTTTATGTGATAATTCCTAAATCCTTCAGAACAATGTACTCATAAAACTGACAGACCATTTAATGTTGACCATGGCATATATACATTTGACTTGATGTATCATTTCAGTATTCAATATATGATTCTTCAAACTGTCAAACATAAATGCTTATATGTAATGTACAGTCATGTAGAGTCAATTGTATGTAATTTAGAATAAGACTGAACTGTTGCTTGTAAGTGTTGTGTCTAAAAACATTATGACATTGTACTGATCAAGGTTCTAATCAGTTTAAAAGAGCACCTAGATCTAGGCATTCCTTGTACAACTGTGTTATATACTGGGTTGGTAGTCAAATGTATAGACATAAACAAAGGTTAAGTAAATCACACATTAAAACAACTATATTAAAATATCATTATACAAAGGGAGATAAGCCATTTCACACATTCATTTGATTCAATCGATTTGTTAGGATTGGGTATTTTCTGTCATAAACCAATCACAGGTACATAGAAACTAGTGAATGGTTATGGCAGAAAATAGTCATCTGAAAGAACTAGAACATCTAGGTGTGAGAGGGACAGAAAATTAGTCAGCTGAAAGAACTAAAACATCCATAATTATTTTGTTAATTGAAATCGTACACTGCTGTAATGGTGCATAGTTATGAACAATAATTTAATATATGTAATTCCTCTCACACTCTTCCATTTCCCTTATAAACTTATTCTAAGTATAATTATCTGTAAAAGTACCAGACTGAGAAATCTTTCACTTCTATCATTAACTGATCCAAAGCACCAACTGTTGACCTTATGTGTGACTAAGTAAGCAGGGATATGATCAAACTCATTTTTTCATCTTAAATTTCTTTATAATACAATATTTTCTTTGTTTGGAGTGTATGATTGGGTAAAGAAAGTGACTTAGAAAAGAATGCTGAGAAAGATAATTACCTTTATTTTCCCTCATATTAAATCTTCCATTTCTCTCATAAACTGATCATAAGCATCATCCTTTGTCTTAGTATGAGCTGCTGCCACCACAGGTGCCGATTTAGGTGTGATTCCTGATATTCTCTTTTCTTCTTCTTTAGCTGAAATGGTGACAAAATACTTAATCATAAATGTGAATAATTATTGAGTTTAATCAAGGATGCTGATGACAATAACAGTTTCTTTTAAAAGATATATTAACATTCAAGTTTTTAATGCCATATCAACTAATTTAGTAAGCAAAATAAAAGTCTCAGGCTCAGATGGTCTCAGGCTCAGATGGTCTCAGGTTTCCTATTCTTTATTCGCTGTAATCCAATAAAAAACATGTATTAAATGTAAAAGAGGATGTTCCACATATTCATGACTTCAACAATTTGCTATTTATAGTTTTTTGCACACGTTGAGGATTTTCCCCATTATTACATAAACAAATCTTGTTAAGAGTAGGATATATTCTGGCAACTCTAGCTTTGACAGTGCATTTACATTATTACCTTTCTTAATGACTCTGCCTTTAGCATCTCTAGGATCACGTTTAATTTTCAAGGCCACTGGTGTAAACCGTGTGACATCACCACCAACGTTCTTTATCTGTGGTTTAGCTTCTATTGTAGTTGTACTCTTCTTTTCTTCTTCAGATGATATCTGTGGAGGCTTCATGATACTGGGCTGAGCACTTATAACGTTAGGGTTCTGTAGTGGTTGAGTACCAGGTGGAGCCAGTCGGAGTGGAGGCATCCCTGGAGGTGCTCCTGGTGGACGGAGCATTCTAGGAGGAGGAATACCTGCAATTAAAATAAATTACAATCAAATAGCATTGAGCCTGGATGAAGCTTTATATAACAAACCACTGCTTTAATCACGATTTTGAAATAATACTTCTGTTGAGACATATTGCAGAAAAAGTAGGAAAGAATTTGTATAGAAACACATTAAAGAATTAAAAGTAGGGAGGGAATTTTTATATGTGATTCTAGAGGGTGTAAATTACAGTAGTAGATGTACTTTTAAATATTAACATGCATGTGAATCTGGGTATGGATAAAAGTCTTAATATCCACATACAATGTCAACATTTCTATTGCAGCCATTACATAAAATTGTTATTAAAATATGAATACAACTTTTAACATACAATAAATTAATCAATACGTACCAGGTGGACCAGGTGGCATCCTTGGTGGCATTCTAACATTTGGTGGCAGTCCTGGTGGTGGTCCAGGAGGTAGTCCTGCTGGTCTGCCAGGTGGAGGTCCTGGGGGTAACATACGTGGCATCGGACCTCTCATAGGTCGGAACATCATTGGAGGTGCACCAGGAGGGGGGCCTGTCAATATAAAATACAATCTTTTGAGTTCAAGAAGTTGGGATGCATAGTATGAGATCTGAAAAGTTCTAAATTCATCACATTGTAAGTGATTGTAAAACATTTTACAACAAACTTTAAAGAGCGAATTGCATAATTACAAAATAAATAAATAATTTTGTGGAAAGTACGTATTCTGTAACAAAAGTCCCAATTTTACATTAATGCACCAAAAGTCAGCTAAATTTCTACAGGCATCACAAAAAACATCAAGACAAGTAGAATTTTCATGAAATTATTTGTAAAACCCGGGAAAAGAAAGTCATCAAAAAATGAAACACAAATTCTATTTGTAAAACATCTTTTAACACTTATAAACTGGCTCAACATGTGTAAGACATAATGAAATAAATGTGTGGACACAGATGATGCTGCTGCCCCCCCCCCCTCGCATATCATATAGTTATAAAGGGACATAACTGAAGAACGGTAAAAGTGACGCTACCCAAATTTGAACTTGATCTGAGTTTTGTGGTATTAAGCATTGTGTGTAAGTCTCAAAACATTTGGTTGAGGCTAACTTAAGTAGAGAACAGAAACCAAAAAATTAGCAATTTTTCTATTTGTAAACACCCATAACTCTAGAACGGTTGTGTATAAGTTTTATAACATTTGATTGAGACAAACTAAAGTTAGAGAACGGAAACGTAAAATTCAGCAATTTTTATGTTTATAAAGGGACATAACTCCAGAATGGTAAAAGTGTCGCCACCAAATTTTGTACTTAATCTGTATTATGTAGTAATAAGCATTGTGTATAAGTTTCATAACATTTGGTTGAGGCAAACTAAAGTTAGAAAACGGAAACAAAAAATTTGTACTTGATCTTAGTTTTGTGGTAATGAATATTGTGTATAGGTTTCATAATGTTTGGTTGGGGCAAACTTATGTTACAGAATGGAAACTAAAAATTTTGCAATCTTTCGATTTATAAAGGGGCATAACTCAATAATGGTTAAAGTGACACTACCCAAATTCAACTTGATCTGTGTTTTATCAGTGGAAGACAAAATTAAACATTGCATTGTATAAAGCATTGATTGTAGTTGATTCAACTATAATCATGGACAAAGGAAGATAACTCCAATTTTAAAAATTACTTAATATTTAGAAGAAAATAAAAATTTTGAAATTTTTCCATTTATAAAGGGGCATAACGGTTAGAGTGAAGCCACCAAAATTCAAACTTGATCTGTGTTTTGTGGTAATAAGCATTGTGTATAAGTTTCATAACATTTGGTTGAGGCAAACTTAAGTTAGAGAACGGAAACTAAAAATTTTGCAATTTTTCCATGTATAAAGGGGCATAACTCTAGAACGGTTAAAGTGATGCCACCAAAAATTTTGCAATTTTTCCATTCATAAAGGGCATAACTCTAGAACGGTTTAAAGTGACGCCACCAAAATTCAAACTTGATCTGTGTTTTGTGGTAATAAGCATTGTGTATAAGTTTCATAACATTTGAGGCAAACCCCAGTTAGAGAAAGGAAACCAATTTTGGGATGGACGTACATACGTACGGACAAGGTCAAAACTTAACGCCCCCATCGCTACGGCGGGGGCATAAAAACAGTCGAGAACATTGTTTAATTTCAATATAAAGGAGAGTAATATAAAGTAACAATAAATATCCAAGCCATTTGTAGCCAGGCTATAAAAACTTACAAATTAGAGAATATGAGAGAATTCAATAACTAATTAATATGACATCTGATCTTAACACAAATGGGGTAGTAAATAACAAAAAGAACTAAGATTAATCAAAGAAATTGGTAGCTCTAGGGGGAAAAGTCCTTTGCTTCTCGATATATCAGTATTCTTTCTACAAAATAAATGAACTGGACAAAAATGAATTTCCTGAAAATTGTATCTGGCGTTTTCACTGCAAATAAACAGCTGCACCAAGGACAATGATATACCATTCAAATAATGAGTGAGAAAGGATATTACATGTGTTTATGTATATTCAATACAGAATATTAAATCAAGAAAACATTTACAGTGTTTCAACATTTTTTCAAGGATTCATAAAAACAAAAATACAGAATTGATTTTACTAATTGTAAAAATACTGATGAAATGACTATTGAATAAACTGCTTCGCTGAGCGCAGCTAGATACACCCGCAGAGGTCCAACCCTGAACAGTTGGGGCAAAAATGGACACAATATTCAAGCTTGATTCAGGTCTGAATTTGGATTGTAATTAAATATTTGACATATTATAGGTTTCTGAATAAATGTAGTCAAAGATCTTGAAATTTGTTATATGAATTGAATTTATATTCAATTAAAGATTTCTTGCTGTTGTGCAATACATAGTAAATCTATTGTCAGACTATAAACAAATTAAATAAAGTTCAATTAATTCTCAATGTCATATTAGAAATTTATGAAAATAAAAAGGGAGCTTACATAAATAGATATAAACAATTCTACAAAGTTTCATGAGAATTGGTGACAGCATTTTTGAGTTATTGTCCGAAAACTGGAAAATCACCCCTTTTTTTAATGAATAAAACCCCATAACTCAGAAATGTAAAATGTAAAATTTATAAAATTCTAAAGGGAGCTTACATTTATACATACAAACAATTCACCAAAGTTTCATAAGAATTGCTGAAAGCATTTTTGAGTTTTTGTCCGAAAACTGGAAAATCCCCCCTTTTTTTATGTATAAAACCCTGTAACTCGGAAACGTAAAATCTAAAATTTCTAAAAAATTAAAAAGGAGCTCATGTCAATAGATATAAACAATTCACCAAAGTATTATGCAAATTGGTTAAAGCATTTTTGAGTTAATGTCCGACATGTTGACGACGGACAACGGTATACCATAATACGTCCCGTTAACGGGCGTATAAAAATCAAACCATTACGAAATAATAAACCACAAGAGTGCACATGCTGAAATGTCGCCTGCTTTACTGATCATTGATTTTATGTTGATAGTCCTAAATATAAAGCTTTACTACAAGTATCACATAAACTTAACATGATCCAAGGAAAATGAGGTTAAGGTCAGATAAACAGAACCAGAAATACATATACACCTTACAATCATTCCATACACCAAATATAGTTGACCTATTGCTTATAGTTTCTAAGAAACAAGCTTAACCAAGAAAACTTAACATTGACCAATGAACCATGAAAATGAGGTCAAGGTCAGACGAACCATGCCAGACAGACATGTACACCTTACAATTAATCTATGCACTAAATATAGTTGACCTATATATTGCTTATAGTATCTAAGAAACAAACTTAACCATGAAAACTAAACATTGACCAATGAACAATGAAAATGAGGTCAAGGTCAGATAATACCTGCCAGACAGACATATACACCTTACAATCATTCCATACACCAAATATAGTTGACCTATTGCTTATAGTTTAAGAAAAACAGACCAAAACACAAAAACTTAACACTGAGCAATGAACCATGAAAATGAGGTCAAGGTCATATAAAATCTGCCAGACTGGCATGTACATCGTAAAATATTTCCATTCACCAAATATAGTTGACCTATTGCATATAGTATTAGAAAAAAAGACCAAAACACAAAAACTTAACTTTAAGCACTGAACCATGAAAATGAGGTCAAGGTCAGATGACACCTGCCAATTGGACATGTACACCTTACAATCATTCCATACACCAAATATAGTAGACCTATTACTTATAGTATCTGATATATGGACTTGACCATGAAAACTTAACCTTGTTCACTGACCCATGAAATGAGGTCGAGTTCAGATGAAAACGGTCTGACAGGAATGAGGACCTTGCAAGGTATGCACATACTAAACAGTTATCCTATAACTCATAATAAGAGAGAAATTAACATTACAAAAAAAATGTTTTCATGTAGTCACTGAACCATGAAAATGAGGTCAAGGACAATGGACATATGACAGATGGAAACTTCATAACATAAGGCATCTATATACAAAGTATGAAGCATCCAGGTCTTCCACCTTCTAAAATATAAAGCTTTTAAGTAGTTAGTTAACGCAGCCGCTGCCGGATCACTATCCCTATGTCGAGCTTTCTGCGACAGCAGTTGCAGGCTGGACAAAATGGTAAAATCTTGATACCTAAAAGTAGAATTTGGCTGTAGATTAGAGAAAAATCAGGTCAGATTCTTTATTTATTTAAGATCAAAGCTTTAAGGCACAGAATTGTTCCCATGCGAAAACTTGCAATGCAAAATTTGGACTGAAATTATAAGAAAAAAGATGGTTTAACCAAAAGTTTTACAACTAAAGGACAAAATGTTAGTCTTTAAAGTTCTTACCTGGAGGTAGTCCTGGAGGTAACCCAGGGGGAGCACCTGGCGGCGGCCCAGGAGGCATCAGCCTTGGTTGAGCTTGTTTCTCATCTTCCCCAGGAGGTCCATCTGGGAGACTATCTCTAGCTTTCTTTTTATCTTCATCATCTCTTCTCCTTTTCTCTCTCTCCCTTTCACGTTCATCATCTCTCCGTCTTCGTCTCCTTCTTCTGTCCTCTTCATCGCTCTCAGAATCTGAACTGCTATCTGAACTCTATAATATGCAAAGTAATACTTTAAGTTAAAGTAACATGTTTTCTTGTTTGAATTGATTTACATTTTGTCATTTCAGAACTTTTTAAAGTACAGTTTCATATGTATTGTAAAATTGATTATGATGTCAGTTTGCTGTATGTTTCTGTGGCATATAAGAATATTTAATATGGTAAGATGATTTGAATAAAAGCATATGCAAAATGAGCAGAAACATTGTGAATAAAAAGATCTGTCATCAACCTCAAATTCTTAATAAATAAAACCCCCAAATCTAAGATATAATGAAAGACAATTGACAAGGTTACTGTCAGACATGCTAACATGTAGTTGAAATCTCAATAAGTGAAACAAAAAAAGTATAAACAAATCAGTTTACATAAACCACTGAATCTAGAAATAGGTTTATAGGTCCCAAAATTACAGGTACAAGTAAAATAATATTTTACCCAGATTTTCTGCTGTGCAATTTACATATTCAAACCACAAACAAAAGTTGATTCTCAAAAACACTGCTCTAATCAATAGTAACATACTATTAAGAAATAATAATTTTTCTTCTATGCTGTTTTGGTGCAAATTTAAGAATATTAATTATACAAAAGAAGATATATCTGTAATTTACAGAGAATATACAATCTTGCATAACAGACAATCAAGGGAGATAAATATTCAATTGAGCAAAATATCTTGCACAAAAGTCAAAGGAGATACATATTTAAGTAAGGAGTCAAGGGAGATAAAACTGTACTTGAATAATCTATCTTGCATAACAGACAGCCATATGAGGTAAGTCTGAAATTTATAGATAAACGTTAACTATCCTCATCTAAAACATAACTCATTTGTTATTTCTGAATAAAACAAAATGTATATTCATCTTATATAACTAATGATAAATCATTTAGTTGCAGCCCTTTAAACAAATATTCACGTATAACGCACATGCCAAGTGTGGGATTCGAACTCAAAACCTCTGTTGAGTGGCTAGTGAACTACTTTAATAGACCACTCGGCCACCAAGGCCCGGAACGAGACTTGTATATAACTGATTGATATGAAAACAACCTGGTAGATTAAATGAATGTAACATTATAATGATAGTAAACACATGGCCATGATGAATTAAGAAATAAAATCTTACATCTCGTCGTCTTTCAGCCTCCTTCTTTTTGTCTGGTATTTGCTGACCTGCCATTTGTAACATTTTTGCCTGTAATGCTGTCACCCCCTTAGGTGCTTTAAATTTTAATCTGGTATCTTTCTCTTCCTCATCAGGGTCCCTTGTATCATCATCAACAAATCTTATCTTTCTGGATTTTGAGCCTATGAAGAAAAACAAATTTAGGACAATGCATAACAACGAACTATAATGTCAATAAATTACCATGACCATATACATAAAGAGGACATTTATATTCAGAATTTAAAATCAAAGTGCTTGTGAGCGCTGAAGGGTAAAGATTGCTTTCATTTTGTAATGTAAACTTAAAATGCAGCACTGGATTTAGCAAAAGAAGATATTTAGGAAATATTTTGAATTGGTGTATAAAATTTCACATTCATCATGTTTATAGTTGAAACTATTTTTAAAATTGGTGTATGAAACACTAATGTAATAATTAATAAAATCATTTTCTTGACAAATTTTTATTACACAAACATTTCATTTTGTTACTTTAATATGTGAGTATAGTTTATTATTGAATTGTATGACATTGGCTGGATAGTTTCTAATGAGTGTTCACCTCACTACAATATGTTATTTAATGTATTTGATGGATGGATGGCTGTTTAACGTCCTTAGAGATGCATGCTAAGTGGAGAAACAGCAAAAACAATTTTTAAGTCTTTAACTTGACATGACCAGGGTTCTAACCCATGACCTCCCACACCTGAGATGAACACAAAAGTTATTTGAATTCGCAAAGGTAGAGATGAGGTCTGAAAATCTACCTATCAGACCACAGGAGAGTTTTTACTGCATTTCATGCATTAATGCAACAACAGTTTTCATTGTATGGTTGACATTACCAATGAGAAATAAATTTCATTCTTGCAAGTATTATAAATAATACAGTACTAGAATTAAACTATATATCAGACCCCTAATCTCATTTTATATACAATGTGGACAGGATGAAAATCCAAAATCAAGGAAATAGTTATTATTTATATTAACTACTATTCAATCTCTCAAAACCAAGATCTATTTTCTTACTTAGAAGTTCATCATCATCATGGTCATGATCATCTTCGTCAGGACTATCATGAGGGTGTTCTATGTCTAGATCTACTGTGCCGATGTTTTCTTCTATACCTGTTAAAAGAGAATTTACAAAGATATACATTGCACATTAGGACTATCGTTTAAATGTTCAAAGACAAGATCAACTTTGCCAATGTTTTCTTCTATACCGGGGAAATGAAAATATATAAATAATTGTGAGCCATTAGGATTGTGTTGAAGTTTTTCTGCCCGGATCTATATTGTGCCATTTATTGCCAATGTTTTCTCTTTGATATGAAAAATTTACTATACAGATCAATGTCGATCTCATGTAAAATTGAAATTTCTAATCCTGGATGGCAAATCTCCAAATTACAATTTATATCAATAATCACAGTTTTCATATAACAAATATTAAATCTGCAGAAGTATTTTTATCACCATTATATATATACATAATCAAAATAATATTAAAGTTAAACTTCATTCAGGAAATAGTATGATTTTTTAAAAATAATATCATTAAAAGCAAATATATTAAACATTTATATTCATCCAATTTTTGCAACATTTTTCTACAGTATGTGATGCGACACATTTTGATATTCCTACTGATACAGACACCTTCTAGGAACTCTGTTGCAATATAAATAAGTAAGTATAAAAACTTCACAACTAATTACAGGGAATAAGAATACTGTAAATTCAGAAATTATTGCGTGCATTTATTATTGCGATTTTGTCAATTTAGACCAAAATGCCATTATTATTTTTGCAATACTGAGAAAAATCCCCCTTCATTCGTATAAAAAAATCCAAAATGCGAGTTTAAATTATTGCGATTACAACCCTGTTGCATTTTTCGCAATAATAAAAACATCGCAATAATTTCCAAATTTACAGTAACATTTTCTGACTAGGGGCCCAACCTGCCACAATATGAAAATTAAGATAAGCACTATGGTCATTTTCATAAAAGTTTAAGGGGCCCAACCCAAATTTCGGTAGCATTGGCTACTGGGCCCCTGCTAATCTTTTTCCCTGAATTATTTCACGGAGAAAATAGCAGTGAACTACAGGAAAGTGTGACTAAAATTTAATAACTTTTTGAATAGATTTCTTTCCTTAGTGAACTGTCAATTAGGGAAGTGTGGGGGTTCAGGAGGTGACAAGTGACATATCTGTATAGACTATAGATGCATATCCTTTCTCTCACATGTTCCGTCATTGGGTAAACTGTGATCCCGTAGAAGGCTGGGAACCAATGAAAGTCCATACAATTATAAATCTGTACAGATGCATATCCTTTCTCTCACATGTTTCATCATTGGGTAAACTGTGATCCAGAAGAAGGCTGGGAACCAATGAAAGTCCATACAATTATAAATCTGTACAGATGCATATCCTTTCTCTCACATGTTTCATCATTGGGTAAACTGTGATCCCGTAGAAGGATGGGAACCTATGAAAGTCCATATAATTAGAAATCGACATATTGTATAGACCTCTCTATTGTTGATAATACAAGTTAACCTCTAGACGCCTTTGGTTATTTATGTCATTGGGTTACTGTCTCATCCTCTAATTTTTATTCATATTCATATATATAAATTCTTACCTTTTTCTGGATCATATTCTTCATCTTCACTGTCACTGAGTTGTGGTGGGGGTCCAGGAGGGGGACCTGGAGGTTTTCGTTTTCTCAGAGCTTCATGGTCTACTTCCATCATGGTTATCTCTCTATAAATAATATATATATGTAAATTAATTAGATAATAAACACATACAATAGTGAAAATAAATAAAACACTTTCTTCAATGCAAATTTTATGATTTGCATTTTTCAGATAGCACAGAATTTGATGAAAATATAGGTTACTGTGGATTTATTATTATTCGTTGGATACCAATTTTCGTGGATTTCGTGGTTATAGGTTAACCACGAAATTAAAAGTTCAATGAATGGCAAATTTACTATAGGCTTGTATACAGACATTGTCAAAAACAATGAAATTAAATATCCACGAACATGTAATTTTTCCTTAATCCACGAAAATTGGTACCCATGAAAATAAATGAATCCACAGTATCTATGGTTTTGGAATGAGAGGGAGTTTTTCAGCTACAGTCTCTTCAAAGAATGATAGCCCTGATAGTGATATTAGATCTAGCTGAGAAACATCCTGGAGTTGAAAGACCATAGATACTCCGGTTAATGCCTTTATCTACACTGGCAATAGCTGAGAAACATCCTGGAGTTAAAAGACCATAGATACTCCAGTTAATGCCTTTTATCTACACTGGCAATAGCTGAGAAACATCCTGGAGTTGAAAGACCATAGATACTCCAGTTAATGCCTTTTATCTACACTGGCAATAGCTGAGAAACATCCTGGAGTTGAAAGACCATAGATACTCCAGTTAATGCCTTTTATCTACACTGGCAATAGCTGAGAAACATCCTGGAGTTGAAAGACCACAGATACTCCAGTTAATGCCTTTTATCTACATTGGCAAACTAAAAGACTTCAGCTCACATGGTCATTACATTCTCAATCCATTCGACTTTGAAAACCCATCTGAGTCAAGAAGCTTGAGATGGAAAACTTAGAAACAGAAAGATCAAAGGAAAATTTAAGAAAACAGCCATAATTTCTGTTATTCTAAAGGAATCATTATCAAATATCAGGAATTGTCACTAAATAATGACAGCTTGACCATCAACAATTGAGGCTATTACCTGAATCCCGAAGATTTCTTCAATATTCCATGTGGAAGTTTATCAAGTGACGGCAGTGGTATTTCATTTGGTAAAGGTATCATTGATGGTACTGTAAATAAAAAGGTAATGGTATCATTAATGGTACTGTAAATAAAAAGGTAAAGATATCATTGACGTTACTGTAAACAAGAGGCTCGCAAGAGCCTGAATCGCTAAACTGGTAAAAATATGCCTTTTTGATAGTTACAAGGGCAAACACTCCTCTATTGGACCAATTGAGGATTTTGTTCATGCTGACTTATTTGTAGATCTTGTTTTGCTGATAATTTTTTACCATTGAAAGATTCTCTCTATCTACTATAGTTTCCCCAAAAAAATGCAAACATGAGGTACACCTGTGTCTGTATCGCTCTGTATTTGGCCTTACTAATACTAGGTGTGCTGCTGACCATTTTTTACTTACATGTTTAAAATCGCTCCTAAAGGTTTTAACATAACAGCCAAAACTGCAAAAAACAGTAAAAAGTGACATTTCAGGGACAAAAACTCCATAACAGGTTGTCAGATTTTTCTGAAAATTTCAGAGAAGTTACATATAGACCTGACCTGCTGATCATTTAAACCCAAGTCAGGTTTGCTCAATAGCTTGAGTTTTAGAGGTTGTATAAGCCAAAAACAGCATGTTACCCCTATGTTCTATTTTAAGCAACAGCTGCCATGTTTGACAAAGGATCAAATTCCTGGATATACATTTGAAACTAGATTCCCTAAGGAACATTCACGTAAAGTTTGATTACATTAGGCCCAGTAATTTCAGAGTAGAAGATTTAAAAAAATATTTACAACAACACAAATGGAATCCAAGTGATGGGCCAGGTGAGCTAATAAGAGAATAAAGGTAAAAGTGATGAAACTGTAAATAAAAGTTTTAGAAATCAGATATTACATATGAATACAACTCTGTGAAATGCTTTATAATCTCTCATTATGCTGTTAAAAAAGCATAATTCAAAAACTTTTATTTTTATTTTACTGCTAATGCATCTGCAAGTAATCTGTGATTTCATTTGATATCTTTACTTTTGTCCAAAATATGGTTCCAAAGCAATAATTTTGGTATGCATGATATAAGTTTAAACTATAAAACAATTTTTTCTCTTTAAAATGGAAGAAATAATTTATACTGTTATGATATTCATGTTATAGGGGTATGATATTCGTGTTATAGGGGTATGATATTCGTGTTATAGGGGTATGATATTCGTGTTATAGGGGTGATATTCGTGTTATAGGGGTATGATATTCGTGTTATAGGGGTATGATATTCGTGTTATATAGGGGTATGATATTCGTGTTATAGGGGTATGATATTCGTGTTATAGGGGTATGATATTCATGTTATATAGGGGTATGATATATGTGTTATAGGGGGTGATATTCATGTTATAGGGGTATGATATTTGTGTTATAGGGGTGATATTTGTGTTATATAGGGGTATGATATTTGTGTTATAGGGGGTGATATTCATGTTATAGGGGTATGATATTCGTGTTATAGGGGTGATATTTGTGTTATATAGGGGTATGATATTTGTGTTATAGGGGTATGATATTTGTGTTATAGGGGTATGATATTTGTGTTAGAGGGGATGATATTCATGTTATATAGGGGTATGATATTTGTGTTATAGGGGTGTGATATTCGTGTTATAGGGGTATGATATTCGTGTTATAGGGATATGATATTCGTGTTATAGGGATATGATATTCGTGTTATAGGGGTATGATATTCGTGTTATAGGGATATGATATTTGTGTTATAGGGATATGATATTCGTGTTATAGGGGTATGATATTCATGTTATAGGGGTGATATTTGTGTTATAGGGATATGATATTCGTGTTATAGGGGTATGATATTTGTGTTATAGGGGTATAATATTCGTGTTATAGGGGTGATATTTGTGTTATAGGGGTATGATATTTGTGTTATATAGGGGTATGATATTCGTGTTATAGGGGTGATATTTGTGTTATAGGGGTATGATATTCGTGTTATAGGTATGATATTCGTGTTATAGGGGTGATATTTGTGTTATAGGGGTATGATATTCGTGTTATAGGGGTGATATTCGTGTTATAGGGGTATGATATTCGTGTTATAGGGGTATGATATTCGTGTTATAGGGGTGTGATATTTGTGTTATATAGGGGTATGATATTTGTGTTATAGGAGTATGATATTTGTGTTATATAGGGGTATGATATTCGTGTTATAGGGGTGATATTTGTGTTATAGGGGTATGATATTCGTGTTATAGGGGTATGATATTTGTGTTATAGGGGTATGATATTCGTGTTATAGGGATATGATATTCGTGTTATAGGGATATGATATTCGTGTTATAGGGATATGATATTCGTGTTATAGGGGTATGAAATCGTGTTATAGGGGTGATATTTGTGTTATAGGGATATTATATTCGTGTTATAGGGGTATGATATTCGTGTTATAGGGGTGATATTCGTGTTATAGGGGTATGATATTCGTGTTATAGGGGTATGATATTCGTGTTATAGGGGTGTGATATTTGTGTTATATAGGGGTATGATATTCGTGTTATAGGGGTATGATATTCGTGTTATAGGGGTATGATATTCGTGTTATAGGGGTATGATATTTGTACACTTACTTGTTAACTGTTGTGGGATTTCTGGTAATGGAATCTGGTCTAACTGTACACGCTCAGCATTTTTAACTTGTTCTGAAATAAATGAAATGGTAATTTAATTTTACATAAGCTAGCAGTGAATTAGACACAGACAATATCTGATGTCTTACACAACAGCATGATAGCATTTTTCTAAGAGATATGTTTTTTAGTCATAGCATTTTTCTAGGAGATATGTTTTTTAGCCATAGCACTTTTCTAGGAGATATGTTTTTTAGCCATAGCATTTTTCTAGGAGATATGTTTTTTAGCCATAGCACTTTTCTAGGAGATATGTTTTTTAGCCATAGCATTTTTCTAGGAGATATGGTTTTTAGCCATAGCATTTTTACTGTATGTTTTGAAACAGTATATAATAATTATGAAAGCTTTCTAATTGCCCATGGCGGCAATGCTCATTGTATGAACAGAACAAACTTTTGTTTTGTCTTTTCAGGATTAGAGCTAAATAAACTTAACTGATTCGTGTATTGAATATAATTATTTGCCATATGACTTAAAGCAATCAACAAAATACAGAAGTATCTCAGCTAACTTTTATAAAATTCTACTAAACATGCTAAAATTTACCAAAATAAAGCTGAAGCTTCAGTCTTTTCTTTTCATAATCATGTTCTGCCTTTTTCAACTCTTTAGAATATTCTAAATTCTCTTTTTCCTACAATGTAAGGTAAATATACAACATAAGTATTTTCATTTCTCAATTCAAGCATAAAAATTTGAAGAAGAAAAAATGAAAATATTCAAAGTTTGTACAATACTATCATGACTATTAAAACAATTGATGTCGTCCTTCCAATATATTAAAATTCAATTTGAATGAAAAACACTCTCTATTGACTCTTTACCCAATGAAACAAGGACCTCCTCAAAATTTCTAGGGACTGTCACTCACTAACATATTATGATAAATTGATAAGAAAAAACTTACATATAATCTGACAACTCTCTGGAAAGTTTCCTTCAATTTTCTTCTTTTATCTTTTAGCACTTTTTCATTCAGTAATGGTGCTTCCACTGGATTATATTCTGAATAATAATTAAAGATACATTTCTTGTCAATCACAGAAAGGACTTACAAGACATCCATAACACATACATCTTTCCCTTCAAATTACACCAATTTATCATTTGTTTTTCACCATTGGTTCACATAGATATATATTAAACCATTTCTCTTTTTCAGAAACCTTTTAAGTTTTTGAAGGTAGAAAGACAACAGATCTGCCAACTGATTTATGGGGAATTTCCCCAATTAGATGTCTTGACCCAACTCTTGAAATCCTCTTTTAAATAAATTATGTACCTCAAAAAAGCCATTCAAAGGAGTTAAAATTGCATTTTATCACATACATACTCATTCAAAACCATTGTGTATATCACATATATACTCATTCAAAACCATTGTGTATATCACATATATACTCATTCAAAACCATTGAGTATAAGTTTAAATACTAATGATATGTATAAAAGGAAAACAACACTTCACAAATTTGGTGAATCAGTAGCACTTTTCTTGATTTTCCTTCTTCAGGACTCAAACCCAGATATTTATCAGAGATGCATTTGTTCTTCTTGTTCTTAAAATCCCCCTGGAGATTTTGAGAAGTTGGCAGGTTTATGACACTGATTTTTTTGTTATTTTTAGTGGTGTTTTACCCATCTTGTCTATAATTTCCATCTCTGTAAGTAACTGTAGTGGATCTTTTCCCTTTAATACAGCCTGTCGTACTAGCATACGCTGCTTCTTGTTCTAGAATTAAAAAAAACAAATCATTTCAATAAAGGAAGACACATCTTACAAAAACTTTTATAACATAAATAAATCTCATAAACATAAAAACTTGTTTTATTAGACATGTTAGACATGTAATACCATAAAAAACTAGATTGTTTATCATATATGTATCACTGGAAAAAAGATAAACTTATAATTAAATATATATTTCAGGGCTGTTTTGCATCTGAAATAACTTCAGCAACTTTTTATAAATAAAAAGCCTTTGATGAATTAATTACTTTTTACATCTAAAAAGTTATAAAAGGAGAGACAAGTCACTTTGTTGATGACTTATAATCAAACTTTTCCAATGCAACATGAATAATACTTCTAGTACAACAAAAGTTAAATAAATCATAGTTCCATAAAGAGAAAATGGTCACTACAGATATGAAAACAGACAATTTGAAACCATTTTTCATAATTTGGTAATGCTTGATTGAAGTGAATCATTCAAGGGTTTATTGAATTAGTGTGCAACATGTTTACATCAGACATTTTGTCATTGACACATGAACCATTGTAGGGATATGACATACATGTACAATGTATATCTTATTTAGTCCCTTAATGATCGATGGTCCCAGTAAAGATGAATTTAATGTAAACAAATACCTTTTTTAATTCTCTCTTTCTTGCCTCTTTTCCTGTAAAAATAGAAATATGATGCAAGACATTAACACTAACTTTCTTCAGCAACAAGTATGATAAATTGATTATTTTTCTTTTCTTTTCAAGCAAAATATTTTCCTTTAATGCTTCATTGTAACTCATTCATAAAAAGTTTCTTACAACAATAGCTGGATTGATTTTAGCAGTAAATTAAACATGTTAGTCTCTAAATATGTTTGTCTATTCACCAACAGATACCGTCTGTCCAACCTGGAACAATTCTGACTTTTGGTCCAAAAAAGTTGAGCAAAATATGTCAGCTTCATATTTGTTTCATCTATCATGTCTATAGGTTCATCATGATGTTCTTCAAAAAAGGTTCATCATTTCGTAATTATCTAGAATCGATGTCATTATATTTTTTGCGTACATGTGATCATAATTCGCAAGTTTGATGGCTAATATGCGGCACAGTTATCGACAAGCCTAGCTGCGGAACCGTAACTCTAATGGTCTTTATGTTTTCTGATTTGTGCAGATGGTCCGCAAATTGTCAAAAAATATCATAAGGACCTACAAGCTACGGTTCCGCAGCAAAGACAAGCCATGCTTGTTTATCAAAATCTTGGTTCTTGATAAACTTTACATATGAGTATTAGTCGAAATTATCAAACGCTTTGAAGATCAATAGTATTCTTTACGAATAATTGGATCTGGAAAGACAGAAAATCCGGATTTAAATTTTTTTCTTCATATCGTCAATTAAATGTTAGGGTCTGTGTCGGAATAGGAGATAGGGTAGGGAAACCGGAAACACACAATTTATTAGATATTGGCCCAGCTATGAAACCAGGTTTAATCCACCATTTCCTACATAGGGAAATGACTGTACCAAGTCAGGAATATGACAGTTGTTTTCCATTCATTTGATGTGTTTGAGCTTTTGATTTTGCCATTTGATAAGGGACTTTTCATTATCTTTTTTTTGAATTTTCCTTGGATATGTTCGCTATTTTTTATTCTACTATTCACTATATGACAAAAAAGTGTTCTATTCAAGAAATGGTTAGGGGTTGGTTACTTACTGGCTTGATCAGTGGGATTCATATATTTCCCACTTTTAGTGGTGTTAATTGAGCGGCGTCCCATTTTGGTATCTGTCTGATGACACCGACTTCAAAATAATGTTACAACGTTTGCCGTCAGTCGCAGTAACTTGCAAATAGGTTTGAGTGTTAAACTGAAACCAACAACATATCTGCAAATTGACAAAAGATGAAGTCCTGCCTAAAAGATACTACAATATTAATTTAAACGTAGAATATAGCAAGCATGATATTTTTTCCATTTTTATCTAGCCGTAAGTTAAACGAATGTCGCAAATCAGCATTTTTATTATTGTAACTTTTTTGCATAAAGTGTAGCTTAAAACTATCGTTAACATCATTTATAAAGGCATTTATATCTAACAATATAATTGTATTTAATAAAAATAAAATAAAAAATATTACGACATAATCTTGCTCTTAATGGTGCTTAAAAAAATGAATGCTTTATTATGCGACAAAAGTAACAAACTGACTACGAATACATAAAAAATGAGCTGTCTGCTACCCAGGAAGCTCTAGAAAATTGTTTTTATACCAATTTAGGGAGTAATAAGCGACCACAAAATGTCACAGACAAAGATATTTAAAGCAGACATCGACATGAAGCTCGAAAAAGTACTGTTTGATAGTTTTTTAGCTTTAAAATTTTAGTGAAGGAAATTATATGGGTGGATGTGACATTGTCCAATCTGTCTTCATTGGTCTTCAATAAAATTGTTTGGTGAAACTACCTTTTTAACCTCCAGTAACAGGAAACAGTTGGCAAAATGGTATATGTTGAAGGGGTTGAATTTGAATGGAGCAAAACATTTGTCTGTTTCCTCAATTTTCCTGTCTCCCAATCAATAGACAATTAAGTTTCTAATTTATGAATGAACTGCCCTGGTTGAACTCCAAATGTGTCATAGGACATTGTTATGCGAAGATATTTGATGTCAAGTTTTTCCGGGAAAAAGCACCAATTGAAAGATCTTATTGCTATTTGTATGCCATTACTGGACATCTCAACAGTTCCTAAAACGTCACAGATTCCCAAATAGCAATCGGGTCTATATTGACCTCATCACCATTTGGAACTCTGAGACACTTGACCTGAGAATTTGAACCACTGACACCATACAACAATCACCTTTCTTTTTGGCGTCAGACATTTTTTCTTGACATGAAAGTTTGACAGGAATGTCTGTTTTTTCCAGTTATGGAGGACAAATAGCAATAAGGTGTATTGGTGTGAACATTTTGCCCTGATAACCCATGCACCCTCAGTCTTTTGCCTTGATGAACAAAGTTCCAACATTTTCATGAATGAAGGACTGTCAATCACCAGTGATTAAAGAAATGAGACAGAATATACCAAGTGTCAATCAAAAATAATTAGTTGAAGAGAAACAGACAATACCATGGCCAAAGAGAAAAAAAAAGACAAACACTGCTTGACAAAATATTTATTAGAATTTAAGACACACAACACGAAGCCAACCAATAACTGGGGGTATGGCCATGTCTGTTAAAGTAGGTAGATCCTGCTACACTTGTGGCACCTGTCAATATGTTATTCATTTACCACTAGGAACCCATGTTTCAATCGCATCCTTGTTAGTACCTAACCTGTTTCAAGGAAATAATGATAGGATTTGCTAGTTCTGGAATGTCATATTGATGGTTTATTGTACTGTCAAATGTTTTTGGTAATTTCTGTTACCTTTTTAATTTATATATTATAAAAATGTATTTGCATAAATCTACATCCATGACAATAGCCTGTGTAGCCAGTATTCCAAATACTTCAAACCTAATGTTCCAGTTATTTTAAATTTCTGGTACTTTTTATATCATTTTTGCATGCAGATAATCTTAACCCTATCCATTGATCTGTCAAGAATCTGAAGGTTTTTCAAATAAACAAACTTAACAAGTGTGTTTTATATATCTTTTTAGGAGAAGAACAATTTGTCAATACTTAAAGAGGCCATGAACAAAAGTAGAACTAACACCCACAGTATGCTTGGGATACTAAACAGTTTTGAGAATCGTTTACAGAAGTTAGAAAGTACAATAGAACCTGTTTACAATGAAACAGAAATGTTAAGACGCAGACAAGAGAGTATCCATTTTATAATTAAAGTTTCAAAATCTTATACCATTTTATAAGGCTACCTTAATTTCATGGTTCTGTGATCATGCTTTGGTTTAAGGTTAAGGTACTTTGATGTTTAGTAGATGTAATATGTATATGAAACTTCAGGATAAAATAAAATCCCAAAGGATAATATGACCACATTTTTATGATTTAGTGAACTATAAAAAATATAGGTCAGAAGGGTGATGTGAACTTTCTAATATATAGGTATAAAAGACAAGTTAACCACATTATATGATTTAGTGGAATATGTAAAATATAAGACACAGTATTAATTTGACCACTGTTGACCACATATTCATGGTTCTTTGATCATAATTTAGTTTAAGTCAAGTTTCAGGTTTAATGATAGATCTGTGTTTTACTGGCTTAGCTTTTGATAATTAACTATATTTTTGTTCTTATTTTCTATTCTATATCCTACATATATACATTTATGCTACAGATCTTCAACCCATAGTTTTGGCTACACGTGCTGTTCTTGTCTATAAAGTCATGAATATTTAATAGCTATGTAGGCGTGTCAAAATTGTATCATACACGATAATGACCAGCCAGTACAAACTGTACTGATTTCATTAACCAGTATTTCAAAGATAAATATAACATTAAGGTAGATCAGGTGTCTTTGTCTGCGCATCCCATCTGGGCGTGTTGCAAAAATACTCAAAAAGGAATAACCCATATAAAATAACTGGGATTTCGTTAGTTTCAATGTATTTTATTTAAAAGGAAAAACAAGGCCTGTGACCCCCAGTTTTTATATTGAAATTTGAAAGTACATTGACCTAGCAGTCTTTTACAGAAGTTTTAGAAAAATCTAACATCGACATTGAGACATCTCAGCTACCTTTACTAGTTTAATGTAAAGTTGATAAGACATTGCAAATGATGTACAGAGATTAACAAGTGCATGTGGCAGGCAGCAGTGTCCATAGTCCACAGTTATTCTTGTTCATAAAGTTAAAATAATTGTGTTGTTTCCTTGACAAACAAATTAAGATATTGAGAAGACTACAGTAACATTAGACAATGTCCTTGGGTATTACCATGTAGCTAAAGAAGTAGAAAATATGATCAAGGAGGGGTGAGTTTTTTTCCATTAAGTTATGACAGTATATCATTTCCTCTTTATGTTCAAATGTCATTACTGCCCCTTCAGGTTTTTTTTTCTTTTTGTTTTTTTATATATTTCTCATATAAAGAAGAAGTGAAAGCACTTCAAATTCTTATGTGGTATATAAATACAACAGTTATATGTTTTGCCTTTGTCTTAAAAATTACGGTATGACCTAAAAATGACAAATGCATACAAATTTACACTTCTGTACTTTCCTGAATGAGACCCAATAATTCATTAATTTAAGCTAAAATCAGTTGAATCACCCTGATTTATTTATTGACTGACATATTATTTGTCTCCCATGTCTTATTGGTAATAATATGAAATTTTTTTTTTATTATATCAGTTAAGCTATGATTAATTTTATAAGGTCATCTTCTTAAGATTGGACAATTACATATACAAATTGACAAATAATACAAATTTGCTTGGGCAGATAAAAATGTAGAGTTAAATACAGCTGGTGTTTTATTTAGTTGAGCATTATACCATAGTCATTGAATTTGACACTTTATACAGATGTACAATTCAAAAACAGCTACATGTATGATTTATTTTGTAGGCCATCTTCCTGTGGACTTGACAGATATTTGGCACAAATGGACAGACTAAAACAAGCAATGTTGTACTTTGATAGTCATAATAGTTCAAGTCTAGAATTACTGGATGTGGTCAGTTGGTCATTATGTTCTATATCAAAGAATAGATATGAAATATAAATCATAATTGATAAATCTATATTGTCATCTTTATAAAAATGAGGAAATTTGGTATGATAGCCAATGAGACAACAATCCACCAGTAACAAATTGACATGGATGTCAGTAACTATAAATAGGTCACTATACACACTTCAACAATGAGTAAAATCCATACAGTATAGTAAGCTTTAAAAGGCCCCAACAACAAAAAAGGTAAAGCTTTTCAAACAAGAAAACCAAAAGCCTGATTTATGATAAACAATAGACTGCAACAAAAGACAACCACTGAATTACAGACTCCTGACTTGTTCGAGATTAAAATCTGAAAGTACTACATTGGTTTCTAAGCCATTTTACACATTCTTTAGTTTAGACTTGAAATGAAAGTCAAAATTATGTTTTGATGTTTTTCTTTCTCTTTTACTGTTCATCAGTTATGTCCCTTTATAACTATATGATATGCAAGCGGGGCATCATCTGTGTCCACATGTGGACACAATCCACATTTATTTTTTAATGCAAAGTGAAACAAATTTAAACTAATTGAGTAAAAATAATTGAACAAGTTCTACAATGAACCACCAAATAAAGATAACTCGATAACATTTTCTGATCCTGACATTCACATACAGCTTTGACACCAATAATTTTTTGACAGATTTTTGACATCAGCATAAGGTTTAATGTAGAAAATTCTGTATCATGCAATTAGAAACATATAGCAGGTCTTTTTCTTAAAGTTGAGTATGTTGTGTAAATATTATTTCAGACTCGAGTGTTTGAAGATGGCAAGGAAGTTCTTTGTTGTGAATTCCGTTTATTGTTAAGCAGACATGGACGACCAGTGCCTCCCATAATGTTATTAGACCTGATTGGAGATGAAGGTAACTTACAGAAACAAAATGTCTGTGTTAAGTCTTTTATCAGTACTTTGTAGGTTGTACTGATATGCTACATTGTGTGTATACTGAAATCTCATGATATGCCATCTATGGTTCTGCACTTTACATGCTTTAGGGCTACAAATGCATGCATGTCAGTCAAATAGATGTACCATATGAATACCCCTTTAATTAATGGTTTAATATTTTCATGAATTTTTTTTCCAGAAATCATAAAATAGCAGGCTTTTATGAAACTTTTTTTAATCATTTTAATTTTTATTACAGAAATTCCCTCATCAGATCCTGGTGTTCCTTTAAAATATTTTTATTTTCAAAATTTTACAGACATCCACCATGAGATCCTGATGTTTTTTTTTTAGATAAATTACCATATTAATTTAATTTTTACTACAGAAATTCCCTCGTCAGATCCAGACGTTCCTTTAGAACATTTTCCCGAGAAGATTGTTGATGATTTAGGACAGATTGCTAAATGGTTGGATAAGAAAGGAAATACAGCCGAATTTACCAAAGATTATCTCACTATGAGAGGAGCTGCTATGCTTAAATCACTTCAAGTGTATGTATTATCATTATATTATATGTATGTCTTGGCAGTCTCTATTAAAAAAAATGCTTGATTTCAAAATCATGCAAATTTTAACTGGATTCATTTTCAGATTAGTATACTAACAAAAAAAAAGAAACTCACAAATTATTATTTATGATGAAAGTTCACAATATTTAAATTATGATTAGTCTTCATGGAAGTAAATTGTACAGAATATGCTATTTAAAATAATTTTTTAATAATTGCCAATGAGACAACTGTCAACCAAAGTTTAAATGTAAGCAATTATAGGCAACCGTACGGCCATCAATAATGAGAAAAACCCATACCATATAGTCGTCTTTAAAAGGCAATGACATAATAAATGTAAAATAATTCAAACAAGAAAACTGACAGCTTAATTTATACTAAACAATTTACTAAAAACAAATATGACAGACATGAACCAATGACAACCACTGAACTACAGAATCCTGACTTAGGATAGGCACATAAAGAATGTGGAGGGGTTAAACATGTTTGAAGGCACTAACCCTCCCCTAAGTAGTGTAACGACACAACACAAGAACATTCAAACAACAAAACAAATATTAAAAACAGCAATAAATAACAACCACTCAAATACAGGCTCCTGACTCATTTTTTAACTGTTGTAGGTTAAGAGAACATTTGAAGTCAGCCAGTGCTAGTAGTAGTACATCTATACAATATATTGGACAACATTCTCCCGCTCCAGTAAGTAAAATAATGGCATTTTTATTGTTTTTAATTTCTCACTGATATTGAAGAAAGACAATGCTATTACGGGGAGATTAGGTTTGGCATATCATTTTTAATTGAAATTCTGTGGATGTATTTTTGAGACAACACAATTTTAAGTAAACAAAAATGCATATATTCACCGCCTTTTGCACTCATTCTTCACAATAATAAAACTTTATCATAGATTTTTAATTGACTATATCTTTTTTTAGATGTTGTTTAACCAGAACTAAAGGCATATGAAATTTCCATAAAATCTAAAATATTGTTGTATTATGTATATTTTACCTAAAGTATAAATTCTATCATTTAGTTACTAGTTTCAACAGTGACATTTACTGGATCTCCTACCCATTAAGAATTCACTTACTAGTATAAATCCTCTTTTTCTTGATAATAAGAGGAGTAACAGCCAGAGTCAATGGTGCAAAACATAATATTTTGTACTCTTCATGTTCTACAACAATAATTCTATTTAGAGTTTCTGTTAGATAGTATTCAAGCAAAATTGAACAGTACCCAACACAAAAAAAAAATAATGTACTTCTTCAAACTCCTAAAGATTGCAATTCACGGTATGAACCCATATTTCTTCTGTAATTTAAGAAATTTGATGGAAAAAGTTCTCATCTTTGTTTGTTTCAGACCTCAAAGTTTAGTAGAACAAAAGAAACACCAGTTAGAAAGAGTAAACTGAAGATAGCGTAAGATATTTATGTTGTCTATGAATGCAAGTGATTTTTACACTTAAAAAAAGTTTTTTGATAAACAGCTAGTCACAGGCAAAAAGAAACTATTGAAGAAACCAATTGGTATTTAGAAAGTGCTTATTGCAAAGAAGGCAAGTCCAAAAATCAAAATTACAGATAGACAACAAACCACAAAAAACTAGAGAAATAGGGATTTATTCTCGACCTTAACTAGTGTTGAACTGATGTGTTCTGAAAGGATAATTAGTTTTGATTCATATGTGTAACTGTTGACACACAAGATTACATAACAGGTGTGACTTGCTTTAGATAAAATTATCATTTATTGATAGCAAAAACATATTTCATAACGAACATAACCAAAATAAGCACACAAAAATATATCTTATTGCACAAGTACATAGAAAGCTTTATATTAGTGATGTCATCAGTGACAAAAATAGGTTTTAAACAGGTTTTTCAAGCTTTTTTTTTTTACAATAAAAGGATTATTGCATGAATATTGCTGAATATTAAACATCAGAAATTATTGTGTGCAATTGTAATTGGGATTTTTGAAGAATTGACAAAAATACAAGATTCATTATTGCGATTTCTGGAAACATTGCATACAGATACATGTATCAGATGTTAGAATGCGATTTCTTAATATCACTCAGTCATATTAATAAAAACCTTGCAATGATTTTTGAATTTACAGTATATATTGTGCTTGCAAGTGCATTCAATATATAAATTTCTACTTGGGTAAACTATATTGATGCAATAACTCTATAAACTAAAACTTGTGTATGACATTAACTTTGCCAAAGGTGAAGTATAACTTTGAAAATAGATAGCATTGAACTATTAAACACAATTTGAAGAAATGCTTTTATCCTATATATTTATAAATCTTTTATTTCAGTTTGCCAGGCCGAGGGTATGACACGCACCCTATATGACCTGTTTGTTTTAACCCTTACCAATTAAAATATGCAAATAAGAAAAGAACATTTTATTCCCACCCCTAAGACTGATACTAACCTTCTTAAATGCATGCTTAGAACCTTATTACCTAAGATTTATTTTTCAACTGCTTATGATTATCTTGCCTTTCTAGGTTTTATTGCAAAATAAGTTACAATTCAATGATGTGAATGAATAAAAGGAGATGTAAGGTATATGTCCTTGAGACAGCAACCTGATAACACAAATAATTGAAAGAATATATAGGTCAACAAATGGTCTTTAACAAAAGACAGTTGTCTATACGATATGCCAAGCTATAAATTATCCCAAGGTCAGAAAAGATAGAAATAAATTGAAGAGACTCTGTTTAAAAAAACTGCCATCTACACAAAATTTTCTAAAAGACAATAAACATTAAGATTTGATTTGTAAACAAACACTGACAAGGTTCATAATTTGGGCAAGTTGTTTACAACAAACACTGACAAGGTTCATAATTTGGGCAAGTTGTTTACAACAAACACTGACAAGGTTCATAATTTGGGCAAGTTGTTTACAACAAACACTGACAAGGTTCATAATTTGGGCAAGTTGTTTACAACAAACACTAACAAGGTTCATAATTTGGGCAAGTTGTTTACAACAAACACTGACAAGGGATTTAGGCAAGTTGTTTACAACAAACACTGACAAGGTTCATAATTTGGGCAAGTTGTTTACAGCAAACACTGACAAGGTTCATAATTTGGGCATGTTGTTTACAACAAACACTGACAAGGTTCATAATTTGGGCAAGTTGTTTACAACAAACACTGACAAGGGATTTAGGCAAGTTGTTTACAACAAACACTGACAAGGTTCATAATTTGGGCAAGTTGTTTACAGCAAACACTGACAAGGTTCATAATTTGGGCATGTTGTTTACAACAAACACTGACAAGGTTCATAATTTGGGCAAGTTGTTTACAACAAACACTGACAAGGTTCATAATTTGGGCAAGTTGTTTACAACAAACACTGACAAGGTTCATAATTTGGGCAAGTTGTTTACAACAAACACTGACAAGGTTCATAATTTGGGCAAGTTGTTTACAACAAACACTGACAAGGTTCATAATTTGGGCAAGTTGTTTACAACAAACACTAACAAGGTTCATAATTTGGGCAAGTTGTTTACAACAAACACTGACAAGGGATTTAGGCAAGTTGTTTACAACAAACACTGACAAGGTTCATAATTTGGGCAAGTTGTTTACAACAAACACTGACAAGGTTCATAATTTGGGCAAGTTGTTTACAACAAACACTGACAAGGTTCATAATTTGGGCAAGTTGTTTACAACAAACACTGACAAGGTTCATAATTTGGGCAAGTTGTTTACAACAAACACTGACAAGGTTTATAATTTGGGCAAGTTCTTTACAACAAACAGTGACCAGGTTCATAATTTGGGCAAGTTCTTTACAACAACCAGTGACCAGGTTCATGATTTGGGCAAGTTCTTTACAACAAACACTGACAGGGTTCACAATTTTGGCAAGTTTCTTACAACAAACACTGAAAAGGTTCACAATTTTGGCAAGTTTCTTACCAATAAACTGAGGGGGAAAAAAATAACTTTTAGCTACACCTGCATTAGATTTTACTGTGTAGAAAAAATATTAACATCACTACCAATGGTAAACATGTATGTTACATTTAAAAAAAAAGAGAAATACTTTTTATAATTTAACAAAAGATGATGGTTTCTAATGCAGTTGTTTGCATAAGAATGTATATAGATATAGGAAGATGTGGTATGAGTGCCAATGAGACAACTCTCCATCCAAGTTACAATTTATAAAAGTAAACCATTATAGGTCAAGGTACGGCCTTCAACACGGAGCATTGGCTCACACCGAACAGCAAGCTATAAATATGTATATTTCAAAAAAGATTATTTTATGAATTGTATTAGACATTCATTTTATTCATCATCTTACTTTTATGGATTTTGAAGACCTACAAACCACACTGAACTTTGCATTGGTTGACTATTTTACATTTTACTATAAGTTTCCTGTATACATGATACAGGAGCATAAGTTTCTATTAAACATGATAGATGTACTCATCAATTCTATGTTTTAGGCTCCATTTGAAGAAGAAAGCTCAGACGGCTCTCCTACAGTCACCATTTGAGCAAGGTCAGTGAATATGATAAAATGTGTTTCTGTACTCACCAAATCAATCTTAACTTATTACAGAAAATACTATTGTTCTCATGAGATATTTTGAGGAATAACAATTTGTTTACTTACTGAATCTATGCACAACTTTTAGTAACGGAAAGTTGTTTGGAATGAGAATAAATTGTTTATTTTTACATTAAAAAGCTAGGCCTTTCATTTCTTAAACTTTACTCAGAACTCAGAATACAAAATGTGTGCTCGAAATACCATATCCAGTATTTTGATTGTTTTAAATTCTGAGTCTGAGTACAATAATAGTACTCAAATTTTTATGACCCATTGGCCAGGCCTTTTATATGTTATACAATAATAACTAAAACGATATTTTATTTTCATTATGAGCTTCAATGTTACTTTTCATTATGAGCTTCAATGTTATTTTTCATTATGAGCTTCAATGTTATTTTTAGCTCACCTGGCCCAAAATGGCCAAGTGAGATTTTCTCATCACTTGGCGTCCGTCGTCCTTTGTCGTCGTCCGTTTAACTTTTACAAAAATCTTCTCCTCTGAAACTACTGGGCCAAATAAAACCAAACTTAAACTAAATCATCCTTAGGGTATCTAGTTTAAAAAATGTATCCGATGACCCCGCCCATCAACCAAGATGGCCGCCATGGCTAAAAATAGAACATGGGGGTCAAATGCAGTTTTTGGCTTATATCTCTGAAACTAAAGCATTAAGAGCAAATCTGACATGGGGTAAAAATGTTCATCGGGTCAAGATCTATCTGCTCTGAAATTTTCAGACACATCAGACAACCCGTTGTTGAGTTGCTGCCCCTGAATTGGTAATTTTAAGGAAATTTTGCAGTTTTTGGTTATTATCTTGAATATTATAATAGATAGAGATAACTGTAAACAGCAAAATTTGTCAGCAAAGTAAGATCTACAAATAAGTCAACATGACCAAAATTGTCAATTGACCCCATAAGGAGTTATTGCCCTTTAAAGTTAATTTTTCACAATTTTTTGTAAATTTTTGTTATCTTTTACAAAAATCTTCTCCTCTGAAACTACTGGGCCAAATTAAACCAAACTTAGCCTAAATCATCCTTAGGGTATCTAGTTTAAAAAATATATCCAATGACTCTGCCCATCAACCAAGATGGCCACCATGGCTAAAAATAGAACATAGGGTTTACTATAGAAGTCTATGGGAAAATTGTAAAAAAACTATTTCAAATGGTCACAACTTGAAAACTAATTTAAATAATGATAAGGGGTCTTCAGTAACTATTGTAAGACTACAATGGGATGACCTGCTTTTAATTTAACTACTGGGCCAAATTAAACCAAACTTGGTCTCAATCATTATTAGGGTATCTAATACTATTTATTATGATTTTAACCTTATTTTACATGATTTCCAAAACCACATTAGATACAGGTGAGCGACACAGGCTCTTGAGAGCCTCTAGTTCATTATGAGCTTCAGTGTTATTTTTCATTATAAGCTTCAATGTTATTTTTCATTATGAGCTTCAGTGTTATTTTTCATTATGAGCTTCAATGTTATTTTTCATTATGAGCTTCAGTGTTATTTTCAATATGATCTTCTATATTATTTTCAGCATCAAAAGGCCACAGAAGACAAGGGTCATACAATGACATCGTAGAAAACTTAGATGTTGAGGTGGAGATTTATATAACACAGTTGTCAGCTCTACTTAAACTAATGCAGGTAATAAAGCTGTCAATATGTATACACAGGTGTCAGCTCTACTTAAACTAATGCAGGCAATTAAGCTGTCAATATGTATACATAGCTGTCAGCTCTACTTAAACTAATGCAGGTAATAAAGCTGTCAATATGTATACACAGCTTTCGGCTAAACTTAAACTAATGCAGGTAATAAAGCTGTCAATATGTTTACACAGCTGTCAGCTCTACTTAAACTAATGCAGGTAATCAAGCTGTCAATATGCAGACACAGCTGTCGGCTCTACTTAAACTAATGCAGGTAATAAAGCTGTCAATATGTTTACACAGCTGTCGGCTCAACCTAAACTAATGCAGGTAATAAAGCTGTCAATATGTATACACAGCTGTCAGCTCTACTTAAACTAATGCAGGTAATAAAACAGCTGTCGGCTCTACTTAAACTAATGCAGATAATAAAGCTGTCAATATGTATACACAGCTGTCGGCTCTACTTAAACTAATGCAGGTAATAAAGCTGTCAATATGTATACACAGCTGTCGGCTCTACCTAAACTAATGCAGGTAATAAAGCTGTTAATATGTATAAACAGCTGTCGGCTCTACTTAAACTAATGCAGGTAATAAAGCTGTCAATATGTGTCAATAGAGATGTGGAGGTATATGTCATTGAGAAAGCAACCCAATACCAGAAAACAAAAAATCAAAAGAAAAATCTCTGCTATAACTGAAAGATTTTATTGAGATAGTTGTCTCTATTGTCTCACCTTTAAGGATAGGTGCAATATGCGAGACATAGGGATTACTATCTGGTGGCAGCAGTGTAAACTATTTTTATTAAGCTTTATATTTCAGAAGGTAGAAGACCTGGATGCTTCATACCTTGTGTATGCAGATATCTTGTGTTATGAAGTTTTTGTCAGTCATATGTCCATTGTCCTTGACCTCAATTTCATGGTTCAGCAACTGCTTGAAAAAAATTATAGTTTTTTTGTCATGTGAATTTCTCACTTATTATGAGTAACAGGATAACTATATTTGGTATATGGTTTTCTTGCAACGGCTACATGTCCATCAGATATGGTTCACCTGACCCCGACCTCATTTCATTGATCAGTGATCAAGGACAAAGTTACACAATTAGGTCTGTTTCTCAGATACTGTTAGCAGTAGGCCAACTTCTTTTTTGTATGAAACGATTGTAAGGTATACATGCCTTTCTGGTAGGTATCATCTGACCTTGACTTCATTTTCATGGTTCATTGGTCAATGTAAAGTTTTTGCGTTTTGGTTTGTTTTTCACTTACCATAAATAATAGGTCAAGTATATTTGGTGTATGGAATAATAGTGAGGTGTGCATGTCTGTCTGACAGCTTTTTTTTTACCTTGACCTCATTGTCATTGATATTTGAAAAATGTTAAGTTTATGTGATACTTGTAGTAAAATCTGCATCTTTAAGACTTTCAACATAAAATCAAGTCAGTAAAGCTAGCGAGCTATTTCAGCCTGTGCACTCTTGTATCATTTTATGCATGCATGTGTTTAGTGGTTTTTGTTTTGCCAGCAAAGAAAAGTCGTGGAAGTTGAAACATAGGTGACAACGGTGAAGGCTACAACAATTGTTGAATTATCTACCTAAGTTAGTTGGATAGGAACTACCTGTGATAGAGCAATGATATTTTCTATAAAGTTGCAATACTATCAGTATATATCAGTTTGAAGACTATTTGGAGGCCCTGCTCCCTAGGTCATGGTCCAGTGAATTAATTAGCAATGTTGCTGTCCACCAGATTGTCTTTACTGAATATTCCGCCGACCGCGAGACATATCTCTGTGTCAACAGTTTATCCTAAATATAGATACAACATTTTGATTCTGTGATTTGAAGAAACATTGAAATATATTTGATTTGACCCCAAATAGTACATTCACCTATACACACTGTTGTCAGGTCTTTTAAAACTTTTGGTCCCAAAATTTGATTAGGTTATTCCAGAAAATTTATTGTGTGCATTGAAGAAAACTTATGAGTATCTGTTTATGTAGAGTGAAGCCCAGTTGATGTCCTGTATTATACCAGATAAGAACAGAAGAACTGTATTTGATGGAATTGTACAACAATCATTAGATTCTGTCGTGTCAGAAGGGGAGGTAAATCTATACTTCATTATTTGAAAAATATTTAAAATGAAAAGATTATAGGTTGAACAATTTTAGTATAGGATTTAGATCAAGAATTTGTAACTCCTTGTTTTATTGTCAGCAAATATAAAACAAATAAAACATTACTAAACCAAAAGGATGTGTTTGTTTATACTATCTTTTGGAAGTTTTTTAAAGGGAAGTAATAGACCGTATAAAAGTTTGGACCATTTCATGTAGGTGTTTTTCATGTCACACTAACATTGATAAGAGGGATGTTGTGGAGGCTTTAGGAAATTTTGTCATTAATTTCAGATTAAATTGAAAATACAATCAGTGCAATGACTCGCCAAATTGTTATTTTTTTCCTAAATATGCCAACTGTATTAAATGGATGTTTACTATACAAGCTAAGAAAGAAATTTGTAAACATGAGTTTACGTAAACTTTACTTTCTAGATGTATTTTATGATGCTTTAGATAATTTGAACTAAGAATTAAATTTTATTTTAGATGTTGGCCACCCAAGCAAAGAAGAGTATCAATAAACATGAGTTTATGTCTGTATTGTCCATCTTTCCAGTCGTCAAGCATCTCAGATCTATAAAGCCTGACTTTGATTACACTTTAGAGGTATGTCGTCAAACATCTCAGATCTATAAAGCCTGACTTTGATTACACTTTAGAGGTATGTCGTCAAACATCTCAGATTTAAAGCCTGACTTTGATTACACTTTAGAGGTATGTCGTCAAACATCTCAGATCTATAAAGCCTGACTTTGATTACACTTTAGAGGTATGTCGTCAAACATCTCAGATTTAAAGCCTGACTTTGATTACACTTTAGAGGTATGTTGTCCAACATCACAGATCTATAAAGCCTGACTTTGATAACACTTTAGAGGTATGTCATCAAACATCTCAGATCTATAAAGCCTGACTTTGATTACACTTTAGAGGTATGTCGTCAAACATCTCAGATTTAAAGCCTGACTTTGATTACACTTTAGAGGTATGTCGTCCAACATCTCAGATCTATAAAGCCTGACTTTGATTACACTTTAGAGGTATGTCGTCAAACATCTCAGATTGAAAGCCTGACTTTGATTACATTTTAGAGGTATGTCGTCAAACATCTCAGATCTATAAAGCCTGACTTTGATTACACTTTAGAGGTATGTCGTCCAACATCTTAGATCTATAAGGCCTGACTTTGATTACACTTTAGAGGTATGTCATCATACATCTCAGATTTAAAGCCTGACTTTGATTACACTTTAGAGGTATGTCGTCCAACATCTCAGATCTTTAAAGCCTGACTTTGATTACACTTTAGAGGTATGTCATCCAACATCTCAGATCTATAAAGCCTGACTTTGATTACACTTTAGAGGTATGTCGTCCAACATCTCAGATCTATAAAGCCTGACTTTGATTACGTTTTAGAGGTAAGTCGTCAAACATCTCAGATCTATAAAGCCTGACTTTGATTACACTTTAGAGGTATGTCAGAAAAATTTAGAATATTTGACTCTCTAGATTCTCTTTGAATTCAGTGTTTTTTGTAGGAAAGTAATTTTTGTAAATTTTATTGAAGAAGAGTTAATCCACATCATTAGAATTAAGATCTAAACAAAGGACAATTATTAGTTGTTTTAATTTAGTTTGAAAGATTTATAATATAAAATAAACTTAAAGAGATCCTTGTTATTCAACCAAGAGAAGTCATGGCCTTGCAGTCATAAAAAATTGGAGTATGCTGTACTACGAAATCGACCAATCAAAATACTTGAGTTTCAAGCACACATTTTGTATTCCTGAGTACTGAGTAAAGTTTTATGATTTAATGGCCTGGTCAGTAGTAATCTTCATGGTAGGAGTTATTACTGAAACATTGAAGATCGTTTTGATGACTAACCAGATACAATCTATCTTCAAAACAACTTTGTACTAGACCAAGAAACTTTGAGTTTCAAACTTCTCTGTCAAAACCATGGAAACACAACATGAGCTGTTTAAAGAAGTGAAAAATAAGCTTGTTACAGCAGGATTCCACCTGAAAGTGTTTGTTTGAAACCAAACCTGTATGAGTCTTCCAAGAAATAATTATACAAGTTTTTTTTGTAGGGATGTTCCACTCCAACAAGATCTAAATTAGCCTCAATGTTATCAACTCTGGGTAGTACTGTAAGTATTAATGACCTATATATTATGGTAATGATTTCATGGTTAATTATATGCTAGAGACCAAAAGGTTGGAAAACCAAAAATATGAAATGTGGAGCACAAATGTTATGGTAATGATTTCATGCTTGATTGTATACAGTTCTTAACAATAAGTATCGTCTTTCACATATATAGAAAAAAAAAAAAAAAAATCATGTAGGATTTCTTGTTGTTGGAACTAAGAGTATTTAAAAGACACTGTATCTGTTTTACACCTTAGTACCATGCAACAAGCTAGTAATGGTTTTCTGTTGTCAAATCTTTTCTTTATATATATATAAACCTGATGGTAGAGCAGTATTTTACTGTGCCAGGGTTTTCAAGTTTGCTCCCTGACTAGTGAAGTGGTTATGAAAGAAGTACTGTAAGTTAAGAAATTATTGTGTGCATTTATTTTTGCAATTCTTTAAAAATGAGACAAAAATGCGAGATAAATTATTGCAATTTCAGGAAAATCTGCATACAAGTATATGTATCAGATATCAGAATGCAAGTTTTTGTTATTGCCATAATCAACAAGTGGCATTATTCGCATTGATAAAAAACTTGCAATAATTTCTGAATTTACAGTACTGTGGATTCATTTATTTTCGTGGGTATCAATTTTCGTGGATTAAGGAACACTTGCATTTTCTTGGATATTTGATTTCGTGGTTTTGCCAATCTCTGCATACAAAGCCAAATTAACATTTGTAATTCGTTGAACATTTGAATTCGTGGTTCACCTGTACCCACGAAACCCACGAAAATTGGTATCCAACGAATAATAATGAATCCACAGTATTACGATCTACTGGAAGGACCTATGGTATTTTGTTATAAATAATAAGTAAAACCACAGGCTTGACATTTACTATTTCTGAACCTGTGGTGATTATGTATGGTTTTACATTATGTGAACATAAAAAAATGAAAGACAAGTGGACATAAGCACAATAGCATTTTCTGTTTTTTTTATTTACAGGGAGCTAAGGCATTAGAAGATTTTATTGAAAGCATTAAGGTAAAGTTGTAAAATCCATGCTAATTAATGGATATTATTTCTTTCGTAAGAATTTTAGAATAACTAATTAATGAGTTAATTATCAGTGTTGTACGGTCACGAGTTGAATATTTTTTGATATTTGAATTCTTTGATTAGTTATTCTTTTTATTTCATTGGCAAATGGCTTTTTTTATGAAATTAATGTAAAAATGTAAGGAACTATATCTTTTTCTACGCATTCACAATTTGTTTTGATCCGACGTTATCAACGTCTTGACAATGCCTATTGTTGTATGACGTCAGAGGAGTGAAATAACCACGTTTATTTCACATGCGAAATTATCGGTTTTTATTTCACTGGAAAATCAATGTAATTCATTGCAACCAATGTAATAAATCTGCATAACTGTCAACCTTTGAAACTGAAAATGCAGGTCATGACCTGCATTGAAGAAGAAAATGTCAGGTCATAGCGCGTACAAACTTTTTTTCAGATCAATTTTAGATTTTTTTTTGTTCTATACTATAACATATACATGTACCACTTAGTTTCCTATAAATATTCACTATTGTAGTTGTTAATTATATGAATATTTATCATTAATTAAATATCTTTCTAAAGCAATGCCCTCTTATTGTTTTATTCACACTGCTTTTTATTAATGTCATAAACGCCAGCTATACTTATTAATTAGAAATCAATTATAGCTTATGTGCTCCTATACACAGGAGGAAGATAAATAGAAAGAAGTTAGTGTGTTTCCTTACAGTGCAGTATCTAGAGCACAATGATTTGATTTAAAGCTTTTACATTCAAGGGTTATTAAAATTAATCCCTTCAACAGAAATGTATTTAATCGTTCAAATTGTTTTAAAATGATTTTTATGGGATAATTTATATTTGCAAATGGCAAATCTTTTAATCAGGACATAGAATTGTATGTCAAGCTTGACTGGCTTCAACTTTCTTGGATACAATTAACAAGACAATTCTCGAATTGTTACTTTTCAATCAAATGTAATGTGTTGATAGCTGTCATCAGCATAGTAAATAAGCAAATCCTAAGTTTTGACTTTTCAATTGTTTACCTTTTCAAAAAAATCCAATAAAACCGAACTTACATTTGACTTATAAATACCAGAAACAATACCGGTCAGAAATACGGGTGAAAATGGGTCATTTTATGAAATCCAGGGTTCTTTGAAAATCCAGCGGGTGTTTAAATAATCCCGTGTGAAAGGGGAAATTCATGGTTGTTACATACAGAATAAATCTTTAAAGTTGAGAAAGTTAGATAAAACATCACTAGTGTTAAATGTGCTAAAGAACTAATGTGAACACATGTTTGCCAAACAAATCGTGGATAATGTTAAAGCTGTTTACATATAACTGAGTGATAGAATAAATGATAATTCAACCAACTGTTATGGTAGGAGTAACGTTTTAAAAGGTTTTAATATATTTAGGTCAGATTTGCAAGGGTTAAAGCTGTATTATACTTACAGAGATGAAACATGTATACTGTTTGCTTGTTATAACTGGTATTAATATTTGAGACTTTTTAATAGAACGACCCTGATAGAGCATCAATGCCTAAAGATGGAACAGTTCATGAATTAACAAACCGGGTAAGAATAAATATTTTTGAAAATGTTTTTAATAAGAAAATTACTATTATTGAATGACATTGATATAGTTAAAAACTCTATGTTTTCAATCTTTTGTATGTAATATAGTTCCATATCATAATTTAGTTTTTAAAAAGGACTAAACTAAGTGGAGGTTTATGGTGAAAGTGAGCTAACATTGATCTATATCTTGTTTTATATTTCAGACCATTATATTCCTGGAACCATTGTTAGACTATTCTGAAACAGCTGGGGCCATGTTACTGATGCATGGTAAGGTCTTCAGGAAAGGGAATTAACTTATTCATAACTTTCTATTTTCTATTTCATTTTTTTAGGGAATTACAAAATATATTTTTTTATAAGTTTTTTTTTTTTTAAACATAAGAGTTCCATAAAGTCTGCATATGTATTAAAAGACAATATAATTTTTTGTTTATTAGATTAAAGAGACGATTACAGCATTTTGTTTTTTGTTCATGCATTTGTTTAATTATGTTTTATTTGGAAGTATTTTATAAATGTTTTCAGGTTCACAATCATTACAATCAGGCACTTTGTCACGTAAAGGTATACTAAAATTCGAAATTACCCATAATTCTGCATGAAAACTGAGCATTTTATTTCTGTTTTTTTTTTCCTACATAAACTTTTCTGCTTTTTTTTTTATATTGATAATATTGACAAAAAACTGATCATAGTGATATTACAAATGTAGTTATATAAAGTTGTGAATTCCGACAATGTTTCTTCTTCCAATTCCAAATATCAATCAAATGTAACAAAATGTGTGAGATTAAAAATATTTTTAAAATGTCCAATATTGATGATGATGAAGACAAAAAGAAAGATTCTCCAATTTTCAAAAATTCTTATTTAGCATTAAAATTTACCTGACAGCTGCTCTCCAGAGTTTGCCGAACAGAAAAGAGGGGTAAAAATACTTTTTTCTTGTTTAAGTATGGTGTATATGATCAAAGAAACTTAGCAGACTGGTTATTATTTTGCAGTATTTCTGTCGCTGAAAGCTAAATATTGTTGTATACTTAACCCAATTCAACTCCCTTCACTGCCATTTTGAATCCTTATGGAAACTTTTTACGGAGTACATGGAACAAGTTTTATTGAAGTTCTGGATAATTCTGTAAATTCCTGATATCAAATGCAAGAACTCACTAATCAAGAGCTACTAAAGATGGTTAAATTTAGCCTTTATTCAGTAATTCAATAAAAGTACATTTGTATTTCAATTATGAACAAAACATAAGTATTCTGGAAACGTAGTAATGTTATTATTTATCAGTCTTAAATATTGCTACAATATGAAATTGCCCAAAATTTGTATGAAATTATGTTCTTGGATGTTATCTTTATTAAGATATCAGTGTGTATCATATGATAACACTTGTTCCATTTAAAGTTAGGCAACAAGGAACTGTCTTAGTATTGCACTCAAAATTAAAAATATGTCCATTTTACTGACTTAAAGTTGGATTAACTAAGTTTCAAGTTGAATTGAAACAGAAATAAATGCTCAGTTTTATTCACCAAATAAATTCTAGGGCACCCTATTGCATCACTACCAAGTATATAACATTCATACTTAAATCTTATTGTAAAGCAGATAAAGTTTGTTGTAATATATTGATACAAACAAATTATTTATGCATTAAGACACAAATGTATTGCATGCTTTTATTTCAGGAAAAATATATTCAAACAATTTCACCCCTGGTCATGTACTGGCAAATGTCACATTGCAAGCAAGATCCAAAATGCAAGCATCATGGAAATGTTTAAACCATTTATATATTCATGCAGATGTGCACTCAAACTTTCAGAGCATTCTGCTTTATGAAAAAACCCATTAAAAACACAATTCCAGCTTCTGAGATTGATAGTAAAACACCAAGATACCAGCTGGTTATTTATTTTAGTTTACTCTAAAAATCTATAAATCAAATACATGTAAATTACTGTGTAGGTAAAGTGACCATTTGTAGTTTTTACTTTTGGATGAAAAAGTATGTATTGCCCAACTTGTTTAAATCATTTGGATTTTATGAAGCTTAATTTCAGACAAACATATTCTTTGTAATTATTACTGTATAAGTACCGGTACTGTATAGAGATTTAATTACAGACCAATATATTTTATGTAAATGATTCTAATTAAATTGTTGTCCAAAAAGTTTTCAAGAAGACTGATGAGTAAATGTCACAGTTCAGGGATGTAACAATCAATAAATAAATTATGTCTTCTGTCAGCCAAAAACAAAACAACAAGTATATTTTATCTATCTTGTAAAACCACCTTGACCGTATCAAATTACCTTTAGTTTTTGTCTAGCCTACGACTTCTGTCACAGAAAGCGAGACATAGGGATAGTGATGCGGCTGTGGCGGCATTAACTAAGTACTTTAAAGCTTCATATTTAGGTAGAAGGTAGAAAACCTGGATTCTTCACATACTTTGTATATAGATGCCTTATGTTATGAAATTTCCGTTTGTCATATGTCCATTGTCCTTGACTTCATTTTCATGGTTCGGTGATTACTTAAAAAAAAGTTAGTATTTTTTGTAATGTTAAGTCCTCTCTTTTTATTATTATAAGTAATAGGATAACTATATATTTGGTATGTGCGTACCTTACAAGGTCCTCGTACCTGTCAGATAGTTTTCACTTGACCTCAGCCTCATTTCATGGATCAGTGAACAAGGTTAAGTTTTTGTGGTCAAGTCCATATCTCAGATACTATAAGCAATAGGTCTACCATATTTGGTGTATTGTAAGGTGTACATGTCCAACTGTCAGGTGTCATCTAACCTTGACCTCATTTTCATGGTTCAGTGGTTAAAGTTAAGTTTTTTTGTTTTGGTCTGTTTTTCTGATACTGTATGCAATAGGTCAACAATATTTGGTGTATGGGATGATTGTAAGGTGAACATGTCCAACTGGCAGGTGTTATCTGACCTTGACCTCATTTTCATGGTTTAGTGGTTAAAGTTAAATTTTTGTGTTTTGGTCTTTTTTTCTAAAACTGTATGCAATAGGCGAACTGTTGTATGAAAATATTTTACGATTTACATGTCAGTATGGCAGTTTTTATTTGGCCATTACCTCATTTTCACAGTTCATTGCTTGTGTTTTGTTCTGTTTTTCTACATGTATTAGCAATAGGTTAACTATATTTGTTGTATGAAATGACTGTAAGGTGTATATGTCTGTTTGGCAGGTATCATCCGACCTTGACCTCATTTTCATGGTTCATTGGTCAATATAAAGTTTTTCTGGTTAAGTGTTTCTGATACTATATGCAATAGGTTAACTATATTTGATGCATGGAATGATTATAAGGTGTACATGTTTGTCTGACAGGGTTCTTCTGACCTTGACCTCATTTTCATGGTTCATTGGTCAATATAAAGTTTTCATGGTTTAGTCTGTTTCTTGTATACTATAAGCAATAGGTCAACTATATTCCATGTATGGAATGATTGTAAGGTATACATGTATTTCTGGCTTGGTTTATCTGACCATGACCTTTTTTTTGCATCATAATAAGTTTATGTGATACTTGTAGTAAAACTTTATTTTTAGGACTATCAACATAAAATCAATGGTCTGTGTAGAAGTTGAGACATTTTATCATGTGCACTCTTGTTTATAACATGTATAAATAAAGGCAACAGTTGTATACCACTGTTCAATAGTCATAATTAGGTTAAGCAAAAAAAATACGAGTAACAAACTAAAATGGAGGGAAACACATCAACTATAAGAAGAAAACAACAGAACAACAGAAACACAATAACTACAACAAAAGCAAACGCCAACATACATAGAAACGGACTGTCTGATAACAACTGCCATATTCCTGACTTGTTACAGGACATTTTAAGAAAAAATTGTGGGTTGAACCTGGTTTTATGGCTAGCCAAACCTCCTGCTTATATGGCATTGTTAATAATACCGCTAAAATGACAACACTACATTATAAAACATTTAAATGTTTGTGTACAACCAGGCCAAGCAAAAAAAACAAACTTTTATTGTTTCTCTGGCCTTTCGTAAAAGATTTTCAGCAATAAATATATTATGAACATTGATTTAAAAAATTATTGAATCTTAACTTTTTGCATGTTAAAAAAAAAGCATATCTAGCAGTGAGGTGAGTTTTTTGCTGTATGATAAAGGCCTGACTTAAAACTTTGAGATGAGGAACTGCAATAAAGCATTGTTCCTTTGTTTTTGTTTGGTTATGTGTGTATAGGGAATTTTGAAAAAAAAGAAGTTACAATATTGATTTTATTTGACAGGAGAACAAGCAGCTCCTTCAGAAGCAGTTGATGCCAAGAAAAGTAAACTGAAGTTTGCTGATTATATGAGTGAGTCTGTTCAGTATCAACATTTATGATCATATTAATGTTATTTAAAGTTTGATAATAGTTTGATAAAAGAGTTATATAGTATAAGTATGCAAATTAAACTTTTAAAAAGTGGCCGACATCAAATAACCAAAAGGGCTGAAAGTGGTGTTAAAACATGAAATAGCCAATAGGGCTGAAAGTGGCATTAAATCATGAAAAATCAAATTAAATCCTTTTTAATTATTTATCACCTTAAAAAAGGAAGACTTTTTTTCTACTTTAATTATTTGTGTATTTGTAGCCAAAGTGTTATCAGCTCTAGGATTGAATTTAAGCAACAAATCTGAGACCTACAATGATCCAACCTTAAGACCTGTCTTTATGCTGAATAATTACAACTATATACTGAAATCTATTACAAGGCAAGTCTTAACAAGAATGTGTCCATAGTACACGGATGTCCCACTCGCACTATCATTTTCTATGTTCAGTGGACCGTGAAATTGGGGTCAAAACTCTAATTTAGCATTAAAATTAGAAAGATCATATCATAGGGAACATGTGTACTAAGTTTCAAGTTGATTGGATTTCAACTTCATCAAATACTACCATGACCAAAAACTTTGACCTGAAGTGGGACAGACGGACGAACGAACGAACAAACAAACAGACGCACAGATGGAAAAACATAATGCCTCTCTACCATCGTAGGTGGGCCATAGAAATAAGATGGCTGTTGGATTTCACCTGAAAATAATAAAATATTTTATGTTTTGCTGAACTAAAAATGTTTTAGATATTATCAGTCAAAGACATTGATTTAAAGCTAAAAATATTACGTCCAGTAATAATCATATGGAGGAAAACTAAAGATTTTTAAAAGAGGGAAGAAAACTTGATGACAGAATTTTGAAATGCAATTTGAGAAGGAGAAAGTATTGAATACATCCAAAATAAAAAAAATGGAGAAATCAGCAAGATCTACAAACAAATATTCATGGACAACATCCTTGGGTGATTCCTTATAGGAGTTATTGTATTATTGGCAAAAACTTTTGTACATAGAGAGAACCTAAAAACAGATCAGCAAAACAAGATCATCAAAAAAAGCTCTTTGTCATGAATTATATTCGTATCTTCGATGTTGAAAATGCATATAGATCCAGGTGAGCAGCATAGGCTCTTTAGTGATGAGAATAAAGATATATACTGTAAATTCAGAAATTATTGCTGGGTGAGTATCACAATAATAACTCACATTCTGATAACTGAAACATAGATCTGTATGCAGATTTTTTCGAAATCGCATTAATTAAACTCAAATTTTTGTCCATAATTGAAAAATCAATAATAAATGCATGCAATAATTTCTGAATTTACGGTATATATACTTGTAACTTTAATTACTGTAAACCAACTAAAGTTCGCAAGCAATTTATTTTCACGACTTTCGCGAGTAGAAAAATAATGCAAATATAGATTGCCACAAATATTTAACAATTCAGCCTTTCATTAAACAAATGCATCAAGACAATTAGGAAATCGCTGCAAAATCTGTTATAAAAGCTAAAAGCGAAATAAAGTATCCACGAAAAATAAGTTTGTTTACAGTAACCACTGTTGTGAGTCAGGGTTGACCTGTCACCCTAATTAACCCTGTTGTAGGTCGGCTTGCAATCATAATTAACCTTTATTGCAGGTCAGGGTTGACCTGTAACCTTGATTAACCTCTTTTGTAAGTTAGTGTTGACCTGTAACCTTAATTAACCTCTGTTGTAAGTCGGGGTTGACCTGTAACCTTGATTAACCTCTGTTGTAAGTTAGTGTTGACCTGTAACCTTAATTAACCCTGTCGTAGGTCAGTAGTGGCTTGCAACCATAATTAACCTTTATTGCAGGTCAGGGTTGACCTGTGACCTTGATTCACCTCTGTTGTAAGTTAGGGTTGACCTATAACCTAATTAACCTATATTGCAGGAATGGGTTGTTGAATTTGATTCATCTGTGTAACAAAGATGTTGGTCAGTACTATGAGGATCAGATCCATGAACAAAAACGACTGTATTCTGAAAGGTAATATCAGAACCATGAACAAAATACGACTGTATTCTGAAAGGTAAGATCAGATCCATGAACAGAAATGACTGTATGCTGAAAGGTAAGATCAGATCCATGAACAGAAATGACTGTATTCTGAAAGGTAAGATCAGATCAATGAACAAAAAACGACTGTACTCTGAAAAGTAAGATCAGATCCATGAACAGAAATGACTGTATTTTGAAAGGTAAGATCAGATCCAACTGTACTCTGAAAGGTTAGATTAGATCCATGAACAGAAATGACTGTACTTTGAAAGGTAAGATCTGATCCATTAACAGAAACAACCGTACTCTGAAAGGTAAGAATAGATCTGTGAACAGTTAAGATTGAGCTCTGAAAGGTTAGATCTATTCAGAAGATAAGATCAGAAATATGAACATTTAAGACTGTACTGTGAAAGTTAAGATTAAATCTGTGAAAAGTCAAGACTATACTCTGAAATGTAAGATTAGATACTAGTATGTGAACATTCAAGACTGTACTCTGAAAAGTGAAAATGACAAGAGAATTCATCCAAATTAATATTTCAAACAGTTTCAAGGCTTCATTCTTTTTCACCTTATAAATAAATGTCTTCAGTACTATATTTTCAGTGTCTTCAAGGCTTAAATATGTTTATAGCTATACACACTCCCTTTGTGCTGGCTAAAAATGATAACAGCATTAAAATGTTGTGTTTTGCACTGTACCTTTACATTTGCTTTCTTTTTTTCATTTACAGTTGGAGTAAAGTATTACATTATATCCTGGAGATTGACGAGCCATTGTCACAGCAGAGATTAATGATGCCAGATGTTAAGGTAAGATCATAATTCAGTATGACAAGAGTTGCCACACCCCCTTTAAAGCTGAAGTAAATACTAGAGACAGGTGAGCCATTGTTACATCAGAGATTAATGATGCCAGATATTAAGGTAAGGTGATAATTCAGTATGACAAGAGTTGCCACACCCCCTTTAAAGCTGGAGTAAATACTAGAGACAGGTGAGCCATTACCACAGCAGAGGTTAATGATGTCAGATGTTAAGGTAAGGTCATAATTCAGTATGACAAGAGTTGCCACACCCCCTTTAAAGCTGGAGTAAATACTAGAGATAGGTGAGCCATTGCCACAGCAGAGATTATTGAATCTAGATGTTAAAGATTTTAAGGGGAAAAGATAAGGGTTAGCCATTGTCAGTGCTCCATGAAATATGTTGTCAGCATCTTTACAAACTACTGCACCAAATTCAAACTAGCAATTATGTATTATGTTTGACATATACATCTATTTGAGCTGTGTGCTTAAAATGTTAAAACTGATCTTAAAAAATAATAGTCAATTAAAGGAACAATGCATAGCATAAATGTTTATAATTACATATTCATAGATATTTATACAGTTTTATTACATATTGATAGATATTTATACAGTTTTATTACATATTCAGAGATATTTATACAGTTTTATTACATATTGATAGATATTTATACAGTTTTATTACATATTGATAGATATTTATACAGTTTTATTACATATTCAGAGATATTTATACAGTTTTATTACATATTGATAGATATTTATACAGTTTTATTACATATTCAGAGATATTTATACAGTTTTATTACATATTCAGAGATATTTATACAGTTTTATTACATATTCATAGATATTTATACAGTTTTATTACATATTGATAGATATTTATACAGTTTTATTACATATTGATAGATATTTATACAGTTTTATTACATATTGATAGATATTTATACAGTTTTATTACATATTGATAGATATTTATACAGTTTTATTACATATTGATAGATATTTATACAGTTTTATTACATATTGATATATATTTATACAGTTTTATTACATATTGATATATATTTATACAGTTTTATTACATATTGATATATATTTATACAGTTTTATTACATATTGATAGATATTTATACAGTTTTATTACATATTCATAGATATTTATACAGTTTTATTACATATTGATAGATATTTATACAGTTTTATTACATATTGATAGATATTTATACAGTTTTATTACATATTGATAGATATTTATACAGTTTTATTACATATTGATATATATTTATACAGTTTTATTACATATTGATATATATTTATACAGTTTTATTACATATTGATAGATATTTATACAGTTTTATTACATATTGATAGATATTTATACAGTTTTATTACATATTGATAGATATTTATACAGTTTTATTACATTGTTAGTTAAAGGACAAAGAGAAACAGAATATAAAGGATAAATTCTCTGTAAGTAAAATTAACTTGAGATAAGACAGACATTAAGTGGAAAAAGATTTGTTCAAACAACCAATAGAAAAAGAGAAACTATCATTATATTTAATTCCTTTGATAATAACATTTATTTGACATCACATCACATCTTTTTATGTATACTAAATCAGCATTATGGAAAGTTAAAGAAAAGTTTTTTGTTTGAAATGGAAGAATTTGAAAAATCAGAATTTTTTAACAGTGAAAAAGATTTTTCATATGAAATGTATCATATGGTACAAAAATGAATATTAAACTGTTTGAGAAATACACTAAACAAGCATACCTAAATATTTTACTATAATTCTTGTAAGTTCTGCATATCTGCAAATACTTGAATTAGAGACTTTTCCCCATGGTTTACACTTCGATAGACCATGTTGCTGACTCACACACTTTACATGAATGTTTTTGGATTTTTATTCAGATTGTGAGTTAATCAGCCCAGTTTACACACCAAAAGCATCTAGAACAAATGTGTCTAATATTATAATAAATATGTTTGAGATGTCAGTTTTTCTAAATAAAATTGAATATAAGAGGTTATGGGCAATCAATTTTAATGAGTCAGCTAATTATATAAGTTACTCATCAATTAATGCCTTCAAAATGTCATTGCAGATTTTTTATTTTTATTTTCAGGGTTTTAACAAAGAACTTGAAGAGATTATGAAGAGTCAGAAAGGTTATGCTATTCCTGACCAAGAACTGAGAGAGGCCCTGAAAAAGGATAACAAAGACTTTATTATACCAAGATATAAAATGTTCCTAGAAAAGTATGAGAGAGTTAACTTTACCAAAAATCTGGACAAATATATCAAATATACAGCACCAGCTGTTGGTGTTATTGTTGATAAATTCTTTGATACATCTGCATAGAATATTTTTTGTGTAAATTTGATGAAGATCACATGTGTCAAAGCTGTCAGTGTTGCTATTTATATCTCTTGGATGTTTAGAATTAGTATTTATATACGATTTTTGTCTCTCATAATAAGATACAATTAGTCTTCTTGAAAGTTTTTAATCTGAGTAATTAAAAAAGATTATGTAATACTGGTATACTATACAAGAAGTCATCAAAAGGAGTACATTCGTTAAGGCCCTAAAATGGCCCCCTTTTTTTAGCTTTAATTTCAAATTAGGATTTATTGACCAATGTCACAATGAATCATAGCTAATACAGTGACTAGATAGGAAATAAGCCTTTTGTTGAAAATTTACGCACCTGCATTTTATTCATGATGTCACAAATAGTACTCATTTTGATTTTCCACGAAAAAAATGAATGAAAATGGCTAAATTTCCATTGATTATTGGACAGGAAACATAGAGCGCATACGTCGACAAAAAAGATCTTACTTGAATACTTAGTTTGTCGATGCCTGCACACTATGTTTCCTGGTCCTAAATTTAGTTGAAATCCGGCCGATTTTGTTGAATTTCGCCAAAATCTCTTATCTTGACCTATTTGTAAAAATCAACGCTTTAGAATAAAACTTTGGCACAAAAACTTCTATTTAACTTTATCACGTGTCTTTAAGTCAACTTCAATCTATTTATCTTGTAATACTGAACTTTATAATCAGGGCCAAATATGGCTCTTACCGAACTTACTCCTTTACCAACAAATACTGTAGTTATCTTTGAAAAATTACTGTGTTCTCTATTATGAAAATATTTTTTGGGGGCGAAAGGATGACTTTCAAATTTTTTTGCTAATGTAAAATTCTAAATTAGCACTATTCCAGAAGTGTTTTCTTTTTTCTGTACTTTATAACTTTATAAACTTCAAAGCCTCATCTTTACATAGATATGTACACATGATATCTTGCATGTTTGTTAAGTAGTGCGTGCATCAGGAAAACAGGAAATAAATATTTTGTCAATAAATTAATAGCATTGTATTATCTGATCACAGTGCAAAAATGTCAATTGTGCAGTCACTTTAATGACATAAACACTTTAAATTTATGTATATGTCCTAAAATGGCTATTTGTAAGACAAAATTCAAAGTTATTTTTACAGAAAACTGACACTACAAGATGTTAATTGGTAAATTTGCATTAAACATATTGCTGAATCTAAATAAATTGGCCAAAAAGGTGGCTTTACCATACCCTCTCCTTTAAGTTATTTATATGAATGTGCAATATTATTTATATAAACTTATATATCACTTTGTGTCTTGTTGTTTTATTGTTTCGTAACAAAAAGGATATGTTGTATACATTCATGACACTTAAACTCAGCACGTTTGAACAAACCCAGAGCAATGAAACAGTGATTTTTATTGCTGTTCTCATCATGTAGTCCAGATGAAATCAATACTATATAAAAATTCAAGCCACTCACTGACATAATTTTAATGTGTCTTATAATCATGCCACTCTCTGATAGATTTATTTCATTGTTATATATAATTTGTTGCCACTCTCTAACATGATTTAAGTGGTATATAGAAAAATTCAGGCCACACTTCAACAGATGATTTCAGTTGTATTTAGAATGTCATGCCACATGATAGATAGTGTCAGTAGTATATAAAATTTCATGCCACACTGACAGATAGGTCCAGTTGTATTTAAAACTTCATACCTCACTGACAGATAGTTTCAGTAGTATATAAAAAATTTCATGTCACACTGATAAATAGTTCCAGTTGTATATAAAATTTCATGCCACACTGACAGATAGGTCCAGTTGTATTTAAAATTTCATTCCAAATTGACAGATAGTTCCAGTTGTTTATAAAATTTCATGCCACACTGACAGATAGTTTTAAAGTTGTATATAATTTCATGCCACACTGACAGATAGTTTTAGAGTTGTATATAATTTCATGCCACACTGACAGATAGTTTCAGAGTTGTATATGTTTTGATTCTACTTTATGATGTATGATTTTTACCGGATTTTCGAAGGAAAAATCGGTTATTGATATCGGGATGTTCGGCGGGAGTGTGGGCGGGCGGCTGCCAAATAGTGTCCGTTCATTGTTATTCATACCACTCTCTAAAATGATTTCAATTATATATATAATTTCATGCCACTAAGACATAATTGCAGGGGTATACATAATTTTACACCACTATGACAAATAATTGAAACGGTATATTTAATTTCATGCCACTATAACAGATAATTGCAGCGATATGTATAATTTTATGCCACATTGACAGATAGTTACGGTAATATATATAATTTCATGTCAATCTGACATAATTTCAGTGGGATATATTATTTTGTGTCATTCTGACAGATAATTGTTATGGTTTATATAGATTCATGCCACTCTCTTGACATACTTTTAATTTATATATATTTCAGTGGTATATGTAATTCCTTACCACTCATACACAACATATACCCCCACTTCACCTACTGGAGAAGAATCCAACATAATCATCTGTTCCTTTTGAATTTCAACAAAAGATGAAGAACTGGATCTCCCTTCACTTTATCAGATACCAATGTTTTATTGCTGGTCTTCCAATTGCTCCACGAAACCTTTCTCTCAACTATCAACATCAATTTTATAAGCAATCAAAGTCGGGTTTCAAAGTTATTGTAAAACTCTTTTTTAAGGGCGGTGTGAATCAGATGTAAATACTTAAATTTTCCCAAGATCAGTTAAAGTACATACAATCTAAATCTCCTTTCTTTTGCAATATCATAAATTCGTTTGAAATTTTCTGCGCTTTTAACAAGTATTCCCCATTCCAAAATTAAAGACAAATTGAAAGAATAGGTCTAACTTTGTTTCATAAAAAAGAATGGCTAACGTATATACAAATTTCTTTTTTTCGGGAGGGTCAAATTATGCTTTGTAAGATACCACCACTCTCATTCAAACAACTACTCTGAAAGAGACATTATCAAAATGCTTGATTTCTTGATTGACAACATATTAGCTACGTTTGGAGTACTTGTTTCTCAACAAACAATCGGCATTCCAATTAGAACCAACTGTGCTCCTCTTCTTACCGACTTGTTCCTTTATTCATTTAAGGCTTACTTCATACAGGAGCTTCTTTTTGAATGCATATCTCATCGAATTTGAATTAAGGGATACAACAGATACAGTTAAGTCTACCTCATATCTTCAATTACATCTATAAACTGACAATGAGGGTCGGGTGAGAACAAAACTCTACGACAAAAGAGATGATTTTAGATTCCAAATTGTGATTTTCCATTTCTTTGCAGCAAAATTCCAGAAGCGCCTGCATATGGAGTATAAATCTCGCAGTTGATACGATATTCCAGAAATTACATTTCCTATCATGATTTCCTTGATAGAGGGTTGCTGCTTACAAGGAAGCTTTTAACAAAAAAGAGTTCCAAGTAGTGAAATTTACGAAAGCCATCACGAATAGATTGACTGTTATGGATATATCTGTTTCAGAGATGACGATGGCTATGTTCCAATTGTCGTAACCATAATCCCGTCCTCCTTTTCTCGAATGTAACCTACAGAATTAAACTTATCACCGGATGTGTACTTCCATGAACAACACGATGAGCAAGATCTGCTTACTTTTCCGGTGCACATGCGATCACCCCTAGTGTTTAAAAGGAGTTCGTGTTGCTCTTGCTTTAGTTTTTAGTGTTCTTTGTGCTTTTTTAATTTTTCAATGTCTGTGTTGTTTATACCGGTAAGTCTCGTCTATCCTTTGTCATGAAAAACGTGTTTCTAATTCAAATTTTCACATTCGCTGGTTAGAACATTTACTTGACCGATGGTTTATTAATTTGATGATATCTTGGGGTTAAATAACCAATTACCTATCGGCTATTGTGTGTTGATTAATAAACTTAGAAATCATTCAGAAACTAAGATTTCGAATCCTTCAAGCAAAGTTGACCTTAGACGGATTTGGCTATTTTTATGTCAACTTTGGTCATATAGCTCTTTAAAAGTTTCGGTACTTATACACCATTGGCTTTCAAATATTCGGCTTTGAGCGTTCCTGATGAAGGTGAATCCAGAAAAGCACTTCGGATGCATGACATTTATAAAGTGTTGTTTTCATTGTATTAAGGCGACAATAGCTAACCGTTGTTTTAAATCTCGTAAATCGATTGTAACAAATGAGGGAAACGCATCAACTCCAAAAAAAAAAGCGAAATTTAAATACATTTTGTTCATTATTAATAAATAGGAAAATTTGTATCAATATGATAACATCTTGCTAATTTATATCTCAGTTGATACGACATCCCAGAGCTTGAATTTCCTATCATGATTTTTCTTGATCATCTGAGAGGGTTGCCGCTTACAAGGAAGCTATCAAACCATGGGAATTACTGAAGTTGAAGTCATCTCTTCGAAAATTTTACGGACGCCATCAGTAGTTGGTTGACCGTTATGGAACATCTCTTTCACGGATCACTATGGATATTTTCCAATTATCGTAACCATAATACCGTCCTCTTTTCCTTGTATGTGGCATCACCGAATTAGAATTATCCCTGAATATGACGGGTGTGACGTGTTGAGCAGGATCTACTTACCCTCTGCAGCGCCGGTTTTGGCTGGGTTCGTGTTGCTCAGTCTTAAATTTCTATGTTGTGTTTTGTAATATTTTTGTCTTTGGTCGTGTTTTTTTGTTATGGTCCTTTAACTCGAATTAGACTATTTACCGGATTTGTAATATCATGAGCAACACGACGGGTGCCACATGTGGAGCAGGATCTGCTTACCCTTCCGGAGCACCTGAGATCACCCCCAGTTTTTGGTGGGGTTCATGTTGCTTAGTTTTAGTTTTCTATGTTGTGTCTTGTGTACTATTATTTGTCCGTTTGTCTTTTTAATTTTTGGCCATGGCGTTGTCGGTTTGATTTCGATCTGTGAGTTTGACTGTCCCTCTGGTATCTTTCGCCCCTCTTTTTTTAATTGACCTACTTATATTTTGAGATGAAACGGTTTGCCTTTTTACAACCGAACGCTCTAAACACCTAACTATATTTTTACGTCTTTTTTATGTAGTTGACTTACCTTTGATTCAGAATGAATATGTTAACAAATATACTAGTATCTTCAAAATGATAAGTAGTAACAACCGGATTTCCCTCAAAAAACAAATATAATTATGAATGAATAGAACTTATTTGAACAACGTATTTCATATACTTGAATCGTAAAGACAGTATTATAATATACAACGAATATTATTTGAGACAACTTTAAGAATGTAGTTGTCTCAACAAATACAATGTATAAGTAAAATGTTAAGGTTCATGTGGACTCTATGGCTAAAATGGCTGCGTTTTCACCTTAAATCTACTCTTGAGTGCAGACAAACCTTGCATCTGGAAAAATTTTAAGGTATAGCATGCCCTAGATAAATAAAATTCAAATGCATTGTATGTTTAAGAAAATTTAAAACTTGAATGGATTTCGCAGTGCACTTTTTTCGTCACTGCAGAAGATGATAAAATTAACAAACAGGTGAATTTCACTTGATATAGTCCACTCAGGTACACAGTTTATAACACCAAGTATTGTCACGTATCTATTGTCCATCTATTGTCCATTTGAATCAATACAGTTCACTTCATTTATTACCTATGGGGAAGTTCTCAAACCTCTTTCCCAACTTAGTTTATTTTGGCACCTTCTGGAGGAATGAAAAAAAGTGCACTGCAAAATTTTTTAATTTTCTAAAACATAGAATATATTTGAATTTTATTTATCTAGGGCAAGCTATGCCTTGAAACTTTTCCAGCTACACATGTTTGTCTTTACTCAGTGTAAATTTTGAGGTGAAAATGCAGCCATTTAAGCCAAAGTGTCCACATGAACCTTAATCGGGAGAAAACAATCGTGTCGAATCCTCAGAAGCTTTGAATTAATTTTGTCAAGTTAAAATTGATTCACACAAAATTTGAAAAATGTTATTACGATAAAATTTTACGTTGTTTTATCCATTTGTGCGTTCAATTTTGTAATATAACTAATTTCTTTAAGTTGAGTTAGTTCAATATATTCGATATGTTCGATATCTTAACAGTTACCTTGAAAATTTAAAACGGATCCAACAGCCATTGCTGTTTCATATAAAGAAAAACAAAACTCATCAAAAATACCAGGTTTATAGTGTTGTATGCCAGACGCACGTTTCGCATACTCAAGACTCATCAGTAACGCTCAAATTAAAAAAGTTATAAGGCGAAATAAAATACTAAGCTGAAGAGCATTGAGGGCTAAAAATAAGAACCAATGTTAAAAAATGTGATGGATACATTTTTCTTTATTAGTATGAAAATTTATTTGACAAAATAAGTTTAAAATTTTGCTCATTTTCAGCATGACTGGAAACTAGATGCTGTGGGAATGCACGTTGAGGAAGCTGTAAAACTACTACAATGTAAATCCCTCGACACCGCTGGATTGTTCCACACGTGACAAAGAAGAAAGTTTTGCCATTTTGTAGAATGGATTGAATACATCCCTTCCATCATGTTACGAGCTAGGACGATCTGACCTACTGACTCAAGGTTACGGAGTGTACTAAGCAAACTCGAATCTACTTTGGCGTTACTGACTTCAGTTGTATTTGGAGTTCCTCGGATGTTATCAAGGTCGTATCCCCAGTAGCAATGTTCCGTTGGAAGTAAATTTTCGGCAATGAATCTCACAGTTTGGAATTTGTTTCGGAAAACGCTTCCTTGAACTTGTCTGTGAATTTTACAAACGGCCTCATGATTATGAACTGCAGTTTTCATGGCGTTACCAATTAAACTTAACTCATTGCTACTGCATATGGGAACACTAATGTAGTTGTGGACCGTTGTGATACCACGACGGATTTGATCAAGGTTTTGACCCCAGTAACATGATTTTGCTGGTAGTACAGACTTAGAAATAAACTTGAGAAGATCAAATAGATTGCCAAACATTTTGTTTGTTCTGACTGGCATACTACTTTTAATAAATCTGAATATCACCACTGGGTCTTGATGCTGCTGTTTAACTTTCCTATTGATTTCATCCAGAAAAGCTTTTGTCTCTTTAACTTCTACTATTTTAACTTTGAGAGATTCAACATTACTCGATAATTTGTTTACTATTGGTTGTAAGTAGTGTTGTTGAAGAGTTTTTAAGTTTCTTGGATTAGAATGAGCTACAATAGCAGGATTGCTGCACCTGTTACCTGAGTGACCGTAGGTACGCAAGATAAAAAAGTTAAGTAAACGGAATGTGAACTCATACTGTTTCCCTTTACTTGATAGTTCCTCGAGATACTTGACGACATATTGACAAAATTTATTTTGAAATGTTTTCATATCGTTGAAAGCACGGTCAAGTTTAGTCCTGGCTCTAATAAGGACGTTTTTGTTACTCTGTAATTGGTTTCTTACTTTTTTCTCATCTAATACACTTGAAACTACATCTACAATTCCAAAGGCAAATGAAAGAACAGCACCGATACCAGACATTGCTAGCGCCATTGAGGTGGCACTTTCTGCGACAAGTGCTGGCATTGCCATCAAGACCTCCATGGGAAGCATGGCCACGTCATTTCCGGCAGCAGATAATACACTAGATAACCAATCGTCATAGTGAGATAAAAAATTATCAAGTTCAGGAAAATCATGTTTCATTGAGCTATAAGTTTGCACTAAGGAAGACAAACTTAAATTGAGGGTTGTGTGTAACTCTGGTATTTTTATTATCCTCTCTTGAATTATTTGAATTTGGTCATGGATTTTATCTACTACTGATTCAAACTGTTTTGGCTGCCCGTATAATGTCAGGAATCTTTCCTTGTCCTTTTTTAAGGATGGTAAAAGATGGTTCTTAATTTCGTCTCTGCAATAAAAAAAAACCCCAAATAATTGTATCACACATTACTGTGCAGTCACAAGTTGCAGGGCTGTTATTTCGTTATATATTATGTACGTTGCATTATCACATATCTTAATCCAATATATATCTCTTCACTTTTTTAAAAATATTTCCTGAATTTTGCGCCAGTAAACGAAAAAGAGTTTTTCATTTGAAAAGGTGTATAATGTTCAGTAAGCCCTTAGACTCAAAAGATCACTGAAAACCCTCTTTTATCGTGGAAAGGAGACATATCTCCTATATTTTTATTCACGCTAAAGCCATTTTTAAAAGATATTCAATCTTTATCAAAATCTACATTTTTACAGCTTCATATATGTACCAATAATAAGTCGTACTTCCTTATACAAAGTCCCTCTTAATACTTCAAATTTGTGTTTCTTTTCACAATTTACGAGTATTCATCCAAATAATAAACTCTTACCTCATTGAACAAACACTTGGATAATATAGACATCCTTTTTTAGACTGTACTACATGTAACGTAGTTGTCGTCACAGCGGTTACTACAGATACAGCAGCGAATATAGCCATACAATAAAAATATAGAATAGATATTACTACACAGAATAATGGAATGTTGTTGTCAACTACAGATATAGCAGCGAATATGGCCCTACTAGAAAACAAGAAATATAAATTGATACACGGAATAATGGAATGTTGTTATCAACTACTGATGTAGCAGCGAATTAAGCCATGCTAGAAAACAAGAAATGAATATTGATACTCGGAATAATTGAATGTTGTTGTCATCTACAGATATAGCAGCGAATATAGCCATTCTAGAAAAACAGAAATATATATTGATACACGGAATAGATCTACTTGAATAATGTTGACTAAAATGTCAAAACGACGATAGTAGATAATTAGAATAGTTCATATCTAAAGTATGATGTTTTAGATGTTATTCATAACATTCTCCTTTGTTCTTTTATTTAATTGATTGATTGATTGGTGTTTAAAGCCAATTTCAGTACTATTGACTTTTTTGTGGCGGTCGGTTTTTATTCGAGGAAACAGCCGGAGTGCCCGGAGAAAACCACCGACCTTCCACAGGAACACTGACAATCCTAGTCAATTAAGACTGGAGTCGTGCACACCTGCCACGTTTTTTATTTGACTAATTTGCGTGTTGTCCTTCAAATCTTTATTTAATGTATACAGTATTTATTTGTAATATTTCAATTTTACATTTCAAAACGTTCTGCTCTCAAAAGTTGAGTAAATGTAGCAATCGATTATATTGATTTATGAGAACAAAATCATAGTGTAGGGTTTGGAAGCAAATAAAGTATTTATCTTAAAGTTGAAACAATATAAAAAAAATGGGGGAAAAACACGTTATTACTTTTGTGCGTTCGGAGCGCTTTTCTGGATTTATCTTCATCAGGAACACTCAAATCCGAATATCTAAAAGCCAAGGATGTATAAGAACCGAAATAGTTGAAGAGCTGTATGACCAAAAAAGGACCTAGAAAAATAATGGTGAAGATGAAGTCATCTCTTCGAAAATTTAACCGATGATGATTTTGATGACTGTCCAGATGACCGTGTCACATGCACTCGGGAAATTTTCAACTCATCAATTTAGACTGCCACTAAAAAATAAAGGTATGATTCAACAGGCAAACTAAGGAACCATCAGAGAGTTGTTGCAATGGTTCCTTAAAGGGCAGAAATCGTATACTTTCCCTATATGAGATGAGACATTGTTTTTAACGTTAAACAAACTAATAATTTTTTTACGCCGGACGGGAGATGCCTAGGGATGACCCACAGGCACTTGTCTCAGAAAAAAATTTCCTATATACCTTTATATAACAGTGTTATATTAAGACATATAGGAATCTTTTCTGAGACAAGTGACTTTGGAATGACCGTATTTCTATACAGTTAACTTTGTGTGGTCAGGTGAAATATTTAACTATTTAGTACTTACAAGATAAATCTCTTTACCCTCACGCCCTGTAATTGATCTAAACAATGTAGAGAAAAAAAATTACAAAATAAATGTATATTACAAAATGGCAGTGGAAATAGATTAAAAGTTAAATTTGAAAAAAAAAATATGCATCCTATATGTGAAAGAAACAATTTGTTTAAATAGTGCTTTAAAAGGCTGTTTCTTGTCATAAGGCAACCTTCACATTGAGTAGAAATTAAATGTACGTGAGTAAAACAGAAATAAATATATCAATGTCACATATTTGTTTTGTTTATTGTTTATTTGTGTTATTTATTTCATGTATATAGTAGCAATCCGATTGTTTGAATTTTAAACTAATAAATATTTTATCTTTCTATACTGGACAACAAACCACCATGATATTTACTGTTGACCGACACATAGCCAATGATATATCAGGTAAATGAATGCGTGTTGTAATACAGAATACCTTCTACACATTCCAAGCGAAAAGTTTCGTCCAATTCCCATGTAATATTCGTTCCATTTTTGTTTGGTATCAACATTCCTGGAACTCCATCCCCAGGGAATGAGGTATTTGTTGGTTGGATCATGGATACAAAACTACCATTGACAGTTGATTTTCCTGTTAAAATAATACATAAATGTAATCTGCTCTCAAAACTATTGGAACACTGTTAACTATGCCCTTTATAGCTTACTGTTCGGTGTGAGCCAAGGCTCCGTGTTGAAGACCGTATTGTGACCTATAATGGTTTACTTTTATAAATTTTGACTTGGATGGAGAGTTGTCTCATTGGCACTCATACCACATCTTCTTATATCTAATAAATGTTATATTCTCTCAAAAACTATTGGAACACTGTTAACAAGATAAACGACTAAAATCATCACTTTACGGCAACCAGAATTAAACTTGTCACCGGATTTGTACTTACATAAGCAACACGACGGGTGCCACATGTGGAGAAAGATCTGCTTACCCTTCCGGATCACCTGAAATCACCACCGGTTTTTAGTGGGTTACGTGTTTCTCAGTCTTTAGTTTTCTATGTTGTGTTTTGTGTACTGTTTGTCTTTTCGTCGTTTTTCGTTTTTTTGCCATGACATTGTCAGTTTGTTTTTTGCCATGACATTGTCAGTTTGTTTTCATTTATTGCCATGACATTATCAGTTTTTTTTTTTGCCATGGCATTGTCAGTTTGTTTTCGACCTATGAGTTTGAATTTCCCTTTGGTATCTTTCGCATCTCTTTCACAAGTAGATCAGCAGTCCGGAATGGTAAATGATTCCTGATATACTAGGAGCACTTTACAAATTTGTTGATTGTAAGAGCGTATCAACTTATTAGAGACAGATTTACTACTAGTATTTCATTCTTCTTACATGTTCACTTTTGTCCATATTACAGCTTATGAATATTTGGTATATACAATAATGTATAGTTTTAAGACTTCACACTTTTCCATGCATATTGCTTTTCGTCAACCTAGTAATTGAGTGTTGATGTAAATCTGTAAGATTTTTTATCTATTGGTGACAGTCATGACAATTTACAGCATGTGTGTTGTAAACATTGTTTAAGGTCGTATTTGTTGTTGTTGTGCCGTTTGAATGCCATCTCATTGATCAATATCATACATTTTTTTCTCCTTTTATTCAATGTATTCATATTTGTTATTATACTAGCTTTATATCTGATTCAATGCACGAAGTGATAAAGGAATGCAACTCATTCCTACTTCTTGGTTTCATTTTTTAGTGCGTTGCTTTTCAAAATTAAAAATTTCGGTTTAACAATGTTTTGAAGCGAGCTTCACAGACGCGATTGAATAGGCAGAGTTAAGTTATAGATTAAACATTTGTTGGACTTGCTCATACTACAGAAATCATTATGGAAGATACTAAATGGACATTAAGTTAGTCATTATCACTGTAGGGAGAAAAGGGGGAGGCCTTTGATACAGGGGTGAACACAATTAGGTCTTCTAAGTAATCTGTCGTGTGTATCATCACACGTACACATCGGATTATTAATCAGGAGGAAAAAGTTAAATAACAAAAATACCGAACTCCAAGGGAAATTCAAAACGGAAAGTCCTTTAAAAGAATGGCAGTCAAAAACTAAAACACATCAAACGAATGGAAAACAACTGTCATATTCCTGACTTGGTACAGGCATTTCCTTATGTAGAAAATGGTGGATTAAACCTGGTTTTATTTAGCAACAAGGTCTTGTTATCTTCCAATGAACTTTTTAAGGAAAAGGACGAGACGTTCTTTGACATAACCTTGGTTCATCAACTTTCTACTCAGACACTGGTGACACTGTATACAGTCTGAGTAGCAGCTGCAAGCTATTGAATACCGAATGAGTTGGGAAAGAAATGAATATCCCATATGCAGGTAAAGTTAGTATATTACTGCTAAGGTGGTGGAAATTTATAATTTTAAAATTAAAATCGTCTCGTTTGTCATAGTTCTGGCACTGAGATGACCGCTTATGTCAAATTCAAGGTATAAGTCTAAAACTGAGGCAGAAAAAGCCGTGTTTGTTATTTCTTTAGTTTCTTTTTCTGGAGGATATATAATGGAACCCAATCAGAAAGTTAATGGAAAGAAAATCACCAATATATCTGAATGTGAAATTGAATGATCTGGCTTCTTTGAACATTATCTTGACAAATTGATTTTTCTATAAAAAATACATTGAAATGCAGCTGAAAGTTTTTTCTTAACTGTTCGATTACTATGCTTTTTCATCACATGGTAGAGTCCGCTTTTCATTAAATTTGCGTTCATTGAAGACGAAGAGATCATTAGGCGGGGCTTTAATGAGTGTTCGACCTACAAAAACTATATAAATTGTATCGTAAAAGGCTCGAATTTAGTCTAAATTATTGTATTTCAGAAGCTTCTGAAATATTTCATGACCTTCATAATTTAAATTCGAGAAGGATATTAAAAATCATTGAGGACCTCCTGAAATATATAGATGCTCATTAATTAGATTCCAGGATATCATGAGTAATTTCAAGACCTCCATAATGCGATTTTAGAATATCCTAAACATTTAGTTTGAAAACCTGTGCAGCACATTTGTCTAAATTTTTTTGATTTAATTTTTACTCAATAGTTTCAATTGATTTCTAATATGGTTCAAGTCTGTTTTATAATACGATTTGTGTCTGTTTTCTAATATGGTTCACATCTGTTTTCTAATATGGCTCATATCTATGGTTTTTCACTAATTGAAAGTCGACTTAGGGAATGAACCATTTAAGCGAATTTACCGAATATCTTAAAAAACTGCATTACCAATTGTCCATGCGTTCAGTTCTGGTACAAAGAAAATCTCAGTTTCATTGTCGTTTATAGATTTATATCTTGTTGATAAACCTGCCTCTGGTCCTTGTCTCGTGAACTTTGCTAGGGTGACACCTTTAGGGTATTTTTTGCCACCGGTAAGCCTCAGTGTGCTGCATGCACCTGTTGATATAGATAATACATTTATAATAAAACTCTGTTGCGCAACATAAATAGATAAAATAAACTAATGATAAATTTAATAAATAAAGATAAACTTAAATATATTTGATAAATAAATAGATAAATAAATTAATTAATTAATTAAACAAATGAAGAAATAAATAAATAGATAGATAGATAAATAAATAAATAAATAAATACATAAATAAATAAATAAATAAAAAATACATACATACATACATACATACATACATACATACATACATACATACATACATACATACATACATACATACATACATACATTAATAAATAAATAAATTAATTAATTAATTAATTAATTGCACAACCGTTCATTTAAGAGGAAAAATCCTCGCTTCAATTTTACTTTCGAACTTTTTGGCTTTTTATACCCATGAAACGCTACTTTTATTAACAACTATTACATAACAATTAAAAAAACCACTGATGAAAATGAATGCAGTACATTATCATCATGACGATATTTCCTCTTGTAGCAATATAAATGCTGATTGTGAATTGGTTTTTAATGTCCATTAGCAAATACTACATGCATACCAGGACATATTAATGATGATATGAAAAGGAGCTCTATCTTGTACTTGACGGACTAGCTGAGCCAGATTTGTAGACGGTGCTAGTTCAAAAGTAACAGTCCATAGGAAGACATGTCGCCCTTCCATGACATATTCTGGCTACTCAAAGACCAGTTTTTGCTGGTACTCCTATATTCCGCTTCGCGAAAGAGCAGAACATACCAATTTCTAAGTCATAGGTTTAACTTGTTCAAGGAAAGACCTCCCAGCGTATATAGCACGCCTCAACGAGGCCGTCGAGTCAGTTTATTTAAAATCAGTGCGCTTACAATAATAATAACTACCATTTCTACTTGTTAAACAAAACAAGCAAAATAATTGATAATAATAATAATAATAATAATAATTGATTAATTGATTTTTTTTATTAATCGATTGATTGATTGATGATGAGCATGATGATGATTCCGTACCACAGGATACTATATTGTCGTCAATACTAATGTTTTGTTGGCACATCTGGAGAGAGAACAAGCAAGAAGAACGATATTGTAGCCCTTGGTCATCACAAACCATTCCGCCATCGTCACTACACCCAGCACTGCTACTGGCACAAACACATTCTATCCCATCGAATTCTTCCCAGGCACTACAGGTTTCAGGAGCATCTTAATAATAAAAAAGTAATATTTTGATCTCGAGTAATATGGAATAAAATGAAGCAATTTGTGTTATTTTTGTATTTCTATAATTACGCAAAGAAAACATCATTTGAATTTTAGATTAAAAATAAACTGTTTCATAATAAATTGAACATTCTAAATTTATAACTATGGTACTATTTATTTCAATACTTTCTATAGAAAAATATTATATTTATCAGATTCCCATGGTTTATAGTCGACGTATATGTTAGCTAAAGCTGGATAATATTTAGATCCGAGCATTTTGTTTTTTCACAGCAACCAATAAGTTAATAGCAGATAGAATTTATAGTCATGCGCATGAGAACTCCCAAATCACCAGAAAGTTACAAAGGCAGAACTGAAATCATTTCTCAGGGAAATGCCCTCTTGATACATCCTTGACTATAACTTGCTTAAAATGATAAAGTGATACAATGTCTTTTACCTATTTCTTTTTAAGTATCTTACCAGCCTGGTCGTAATCTACACGACCTTCATACGAAACACCAGCAACTGTTAATGCCACAGCTGAAAAATATTGTTGAAAAGGTTATTTTTTTAATTTGTTTCCTCGCACAACTTTATTAGCCCTTCAATATACATGCAACTTTACTTATCGGGCGACTTTACCACTGTAAAGTTTTCTTGTAATACTCAATTTGCCTTATTTGTTGAGCTGTGTATGTTATTTACGATGTAAATATGAATGCATTGGTACAAAAAAAAACAACCCCAAACGACCGAACAGCAAAACGGAATGAACAAAGCTATGACAAAAAATGAAATGAAGTTAAACGTTTAATCAAGCTCATAAATAAACTGACCTTAGTTTATGTACAATATAAACAGGCTGGCAGATTCTGTTATAGATAATTAAACTGTTAGAAAAAATCTTTGATCTAGAAAAGAAAAGTTTGGTGCAAACACAATACTACTATAGGGGATTCTTGGACCCCCAAAAAATTATATTATACCATTTTATGTCATATTATGTCATTTGAGATTATGTAAGATGATATAACTTGGGGGTCTTAATTTTTTTTCCCAAGAACCCCTTATAGTAGTCACAATTCTTGTTTATCAGCTCCTTGAATTTGTTAGACATTGGGTTTGCCATTAGATTATATGAGTTGTTGGGTTGCTGTCTGCTTTGAAGTTTTCTTCACATGCACATTTGGTGTGTCAAACTCTGTCATTCCGTCTCACTTTGTAATCTCTCATTTCGTTATTGATCAATTATATTATTTAAAGCGTTATGCTGATTGGCTGTTTCGAAATTGATTTCCCAAACTGGAATTTGAAAGTCAAATATTATGAATTTCAAATCTCGAATTTCGAATTTGGATACTGAACTATTCATCTGGACTTTTATTCCTTTTAACCTTAGGAAAAATCTCTTTTTTTGTGGTATTTTGATAACAAACCCTTTAATTAAACAGACGTGGGATACAAGCAAAGTATGTATTTAAACAGAGTATACTATTAGCATCACTGACGTAGCAAACCAAGAACAGAAAAGCAGTTCCAAGGATTAAGGATTCTGAAAAGGGTGGAATCAAGGATTCGGGTAGAAGATGTGTAGTTCATGGAGCAATGATTCAGATAGAACATTTGTAGGTCAGGACAGGATATTTTGTTTGTTTGTATATTCATATTTGATTTACGAGTTTTGAAGATCGGTATATATACTGCATATGATGAAGACATAATCTTTCAATCAGTTTAATAGAGGTCTGGAGCTGGCATGTCAGTAACTGCTAGTAGTCCTTTGTTAATTTATGTATCATTGTCATTTTGCTTAGATTTTTGTTACCTATTCTGACATCGGACTCGGACATCTTTTAAATTGAGTTTTACTGTGCGTATTGCTGTGTGTTTGTTTTTTCTACATTGGCTAGAGGTATAGGGGAGGGTTGAGATCTCACAAAACATGTTTAACCCCGCAGCATTTTTGCGCCTGTCCCAAGTCAGGAGCCTCTGGCCTTTGTTAGTCTTGTATAATTTTTAATTTTAGTTCATTTAAATGTTTTGGAGTTTAGTATGACGTCCATTATCACTGAACTAGTACACATTTTTGTTTAGGGGCCAGCTGAAGCACGCCTCCGGGTGTGGGATTTTCTCGCTGTGTTGAAGACCCATTGGTGGCCTTCGGATGTATTCTGCTCTTTGGTCGGGTTGTCGTCTCTTTGACACATTCCCCATTTCCATTCTCAATTTTATTGCTATTGCCTTTTGGCCAGACAAATGTCATAGACTTGGTTTTTTTTTAACTTTCCAGCAGGATATTCAAACATTCAAACAAAAACAGTACTATCAATAAAAGCCAACACACCAATGTGATAGATTTGTCCTTTAAAACTTACCGGCAGAAAGTTAAAATAAAAGCAGTACTATTAAAATACAAGTCAATAAGTCAATGTGATATATTTGTCTTTTAAAAATTATCGACAGGGTGTTAAAAAAAAACCAGTACTATTAACACAACTCAATGCATCAAATGTGATATATTTTTATGATTGTTGCCTCTTATGCAGACACATGTGATAGACTTGTTCTTTTAAACAAGCTTTGTTTATTGTTATGGGGCCAGCTGAAGCCCGCCTCCTGTTGCGGGATTTTCTCGCTGCGTTGAAGACCCGCTGGTGGCCTTTGGCTGTTTTATGCTCTTTGATCGGGTTGTTGTCTCTTTGACTCATTCCCCGTTTCCACATTTTATTCTATTGTCCTTTTAAACTTACCGGTAGGATTTTTATATAAAAGCTGTACTCTCAACACAAGCCAATACGCCAATATAATAGATGTTTCCTTTCAAAATTACCGGCTCGATGTTCAAATAAAAGCTGTACTATTAACACAAGTCAACACGCCAATATAATAGATGTTTCCTTTCAAACTTACCGGCAGTATGTTCATATAAAAACTGTACTCTCATCTCAAGCCAATACACCAATGTGATAGATGTTTCCTTTCAAACTTACTGACAGGATGTTCATATAAAAGCGGTACTCTCAACACAAGCCAATACACCAATATGATAGATGTTTCATTTCAACTTACTGGTAGGATTTTCAAATAAAACCTGTACTCTCAGCACAAGGAAATACGACAATAAGATAGATGTTTCCTACTTACCGGCAGGATGTTCAAATAAAAGCAGTACTATTAACACAAGCCAATACGACAATGTTATAGATTTCTTTATATTTTTGTCCATAATGCTAAACCTTCATTGTGACAACGGGAAACATTAAACAATAAGTTTTATGATAAAATCTGGGACACATTTTGGTTTCCTAGAAGATAAAATATGTGGGAGCGATGTTTCTGAATGGCAGGTGGATTTCCCATTTACCTTTTTGAGGTTACGTTACACACAACATTTCAATAACATATTTTTTTCGTTGGCCTGTCCATTTTTAAAAACAAGGTGAATGAAACTTTGCTTTTGAAATTTTTGATTTTGTAAACCAAACCATGACAACGGTTGACATAAACCTTACATGACATATGAAATTCCACATAGAATTACAGAGCAGCAACCATGTTAGGGTCTTGAGTGCTTCAAGTTAATCATAAATAAATATAAAGCTAACCTGAATTATATAAATATTTACCGTTGACATGTAACGCATGCTTGTCTAAAAACTTAACGGTAGACATGTAACACATGCTTTATATCAGTAGATATTCTAAAAACTTTTATCATGAATAAAAGGAGATGTGGGGATATACGTTATGGCATAACCCAGTGAGACAATAACCCGATGATGCAAATAACCAAAGAACTTTTTGATAGCAACTACAGAAAGTCGTGTATACATCATGTCAAGCCCAAAATCAAAGTACATTAATCTCTATTTTATTTTTAGCCTCCAATAAAATAGACGAACTATACGTTCTTTAAATAGTTTCGTGTATACATAAGTATGACAGCAACCTAAAAACACTTATAACCAAAGGACATCTACAGGGCAATATAGTCTGGAACAACAGATAGCAGTAGGTTGTCTTTACAATACTACAATATATCAAATTATAATTATTCCGGAGTTCATAATAAACAAAAAAAAACACATTAAGATATGACATTAACAAATACTAACCCGGGTCGATACTGGAATGTCTATAAAGTTATCAGTTTCGAAACAAAACAAAAAAGTCATTCATAACCTCCAATTTTTTTTTATGATGATATCCTATCAAAGTATATATAAAGTATGGAATACTGAAACAGTTATGCTGTAAAGAGGGGTCAATGAAAGTATATATGCAGTATGGAATACCGAAACAGTTATGGTGTAAAAGGTGGGGGGCAATGAAAGTATATATACAGTATAGAATACCGAAACAGTTATGTTGTAAAAAGGGTAGGGGCAATGAAAGTATATATACAGTATAGAATACCGAAACAGTTATGTTGTAAAAAGGGTAGGAGCAATGAAAGTATATATACAGTATAGAATACTGAAACAGTTATGTTGTAAAAGGGGGGGGGGGGGGTGAAAGTATATATACAGTATAGAATACCGAAATAGTTATGTTTTAAATGAAAAATAATCGAAATCAAGAGGACAATACATGAACGTTACAAAACGAGGCATGTGTAAACAGAAAAGACATGTGTTAACCGACGAGACATGTGTAAACCGATGAGACATGTGTAAACAGACCAGACATGTGTAAACCGGCGAGACATGTGTAAACAGATTAGACGTCTAAACAGACGAGATATGTGTAAACAAACGAGACATTTGTAAACAGACGAGATATGTGTAAATAAACGAGACATTTGTAAACAGACGAGACGTATTAAACAGATGAGACATGTATAAACAGACAAGATTTGTGTAAACAGATGTTACATGTGTAAACGGACGAGACATGTGTAAACTAATCTGGTGTAAACCAACGAGATTTGTATAAGCAGACGAGACATGTTTAAACAGACTAGACACGTGTAAACAGACGAGACATGTTTAAATAGACATGACATGTGTAAACAGACGAGACATGCATGTGTAAACAAGAGTAAAAGACCAATTATCTCTACAACTTTAGCTTAGCTTAGATTGTTACGATCTTCAATGAAAACTGGAATATATAAAATATTCTGCTTCGTATGTGACAAGAACCCGCCGTACTATCAGATTTGAAAATAAAAAAATTAATGGGCAACTATTGTTCAGTATATTTTAACCAGATAAAATTAAGACAGAAGTAAACCTTAAGCAGCCAAAAAAGTGGGGGTGGTATGCCGTAAATACTACATGGACGTTCTTAGAATGAAATTTAAATTCTTCTACATTCAAGTCCGTCAGCTCCACAGGGAGTCACATAGTAAACAATCATATCATAACCACATCACAGCTTAAGGCCTCTTCTAAACATTTGAAGGTCACTATTATGTATTGGTTACCTAAACTACACAAAAGACCAGTAAAATATCGTATCATCTCGGCCTCTAGTAAGTGTTCTACAACTAATCTTTCAGTGCTTTTAACTTGTATCAAAGAACTTATCATTAACTTTTGTAATAAAACATATGAAATATAGTGGAATTAACTATTTTTGGAGTGTAAAAAATTCTTTGGATGATTTAGATAAATTACGTGCTTTTGATAGTCTTTTTGATTCTGTTGAGAGTTTTGACTTTTCAACTCTTTACACTACACTTCCACACAATCTTATCAAACAAAAGTTTTCCTATTTAATGAAATGGTCGTTTGGTCTGAATGCAAATATATTTGCTGCAACGCATTCAAAGCCTTCTTCTCTAATGAGAAAGGTAAATATGTTAGATGTCTAGATATACTTATTGGAGGTGTGATGAGATGATTGAAGCTGTTAATTTTCTCCTTGATAATATTTATGTACGTTTCGGCAATCAAGTTTATCGACAGGTTGTAGGTATTCCTATGGGCACCAATAGCGCCACTTTAATAGCAGACTTGTTCTTGTACTGTTATGAATCACAGTTTATGACCAAACTCAGTAAAAACCCGTCTAAATTATATTTAATTTATAGACCCAACAACACTTACCGTTATCTTGATGATATTTTTTCGTTAAATAATCAAGAATTTTCTAAATATACTGCCGAAATTTACCCAAAGGAACTTACTTTAAATAAATAAAATATAATAATAACTGTTCTTTCCTAGATTTAGATATTTCAGTTTTACACTGGAAAACTACACTAAAATTTTCGACAAAAGGGTCGATTTTTCGTTCCTTATCGTTAAGTTTCCTTTTTAGGAAGGTGATTTTGTTCCTTTGGCACCATCTTACGGTGTTTATATATCACAACTCGTTCGCTATGCCCGTATCTGTTGTGACAATTTGGATTTCAACGAACGTTATCTATGTATTACTAGTAATTTATTCAGTCAGGGATTTCATTACCACAAATTACTAAAAACCTTTACTAAATTCTTCCATAGATAAAAAGATTTGGTTTGGAAGTTTGATTGTACCTGTAGAAAACTTATTTCAAACGGGATAGCACATCCTAACTTTTACGGAGATTTTGTTTACAGAGCCTGGAAATATTGATTTTGCTATCAGTAAATTAAAAAGCAAACTAAATATTATTGTTATACACATATGCACATTCATGGCTGTACAATCTGTCGATACCTTTATCTTGCCATTGCACATGGCCATGTTTTTTCTCTGACTGTTAATGACGTCTTTACACTAAATACATTGGATGTTGAATGTGTACTGATTGATTTTTCAGTCTTAGAAAAAAAAATGCATGAGTTTTTATTAGTTGTTATTGGCTTTGATCGAGCTGTCAGTAACTGCGAGTGCTCTCAGATCTGTACTTAGTGCCTTTTTTTGTTGGGATGTATAAGTACTCGGTCTGTTTTTGTTAGATGTATTTCTGCTTTGTATCGATTTGATGAGTTAAGCCCTTTTCAACTGATAGTTTGTTCTTATGTTGTACTGTTGTACACCACTGTACCAGGATAGGGGAGGGTTGGCGCCCTCAAACATGTTTAACCCCGCCATCTTTGTATATGTGCAAGTCCCAAGTCAGAATCCTGGTTGTCGTTTGTTGCTTTATATCATATTTGTTTTTCGTTCATTATTTTGTACATAAGTCAGGCCGTTAGTTTTCTCGTTTGAATTGTTTTACATTTGTCATTTCGGGGCTTTTTATAGCTGACTATGCAGTATGGGTTTTGCTCATTGTTGAAGGCCGTACGGTGACCTATAGTTGCTATTTCTATGTCATTTGGTCTCTTGTGGAGAGTTATCTCATTGGCAATCATACCAAATCTTCTTATTTTTATACTTAATACATGCATACCCGATTGGGAGTACCTCAAAACAATATAACTGAAATACCAGATAGTAAACGACAATAGACAAATACTGTTAATATTCTATATCAGAACGAAAATGATAAAATGTTGAAGCAAAATAATTCCGTATGAAACAGATAATGTCCAACAGAGTATAGTGTAAATAAAGTACAATATAAAAATAAGGAGATGTGGTATGATGGCGAATTAGACAAGTCTCCGCCAGAGTTCAAAATGACGTGGATATATATACAATGAATGTACATTGTCTGAAAATATAAAATTTATTTGTATGAGCTTTAGGAACATTTCGAAAAATGAGGCTCGCCGAGTTTTTCTCCTGTTTTGTAGCGATTACAAATACATTTTATATTTCCGACAATGTACATATATTGTTTTTATCCAGCAATTAACACCCGACATTTTAAGGTTTAGTTGTTTAAATCCAAATAGTTGTCTGATTTTTAAAAGAAATCGACA